GACCTGTAATTTTTAAAATTTTATATTTAATATGTATTTTTATTTAATATATTATATTGAATTAAGTATTTTCAACTCAAAATATCAAAATGAAGATACAAGTCAACACACTTAACCTATCACCAATTTCCCATGTGTTATAAATTATTTTCTTGTATTTGTTTAATCAAAATCACTTTAAGAAGTGTTTGTTGATGTTTTGAGGTATTTTCCAAGTTATATACTGTAATTTGTATAAAATATAATTACTAAATTTAGTGGATGATTTTGATTGGTTTTTTTATTTTTTAATATGATTTATTTTATTTCTTTTTAATAATAATTTAAATGTTATGTTTTATAAGATAAAATAATATATTTAACGAAGCTGCTAAATCTAAATAATAGGAAAATATATAAACAAAAATTGCCAAAGAAAAAACACTCCCAATAGTTTTAAATTCAATGAGAGGGTTTACTTTTCATTTAAATTTTATTTTTAATATTATTTTGATACTATATTTTATCAAATAAAATAAATATATTTCTATTCAATTGAATAGCGAAGAAAATAATTTTGAGTGGAAGTCAAATTAATTTGATTTGATTTCTATTATTCTTAATTTTTTCTTTAAAAATATTAAATTAAATATTTTTTCTAAATTTTTTTATTATAAAAAAAAATGTAATGTTACATTTCAAACATTACTTTAATTTTTATTATATTACTCTAAGCAACTATTCAAATAAAAACTTCAAACAAACAATATATTCTTTTTATTTTAGAGGGTGTATGGTAAACAATTTTTTCAAGAATTTTTAGCTTATTGAACAACTTTTAGCTCTTTGATCAGTAAATCAGCTAATTTTTGTGTTTGATAAATTAGCGTTTTCAATTAACTTATTGAGTCCAAAAAGCTAATTTTAAAAAAGCTTTATATACCAACGTTTCAGATTAATTTTTTCATTTAAATTTTTTTTTAGTCCTTGTTTGTCCTTAAAATTAATTAATTCTTTAACATATATTCATATATTTTTTATTACACTATTTATTAATTATTTAGATATATATATATTTTTTCTAATAACTTATAAATTCATATTTATAAATTTAAAATAATTATTTTTTTATATATCAATTTTCTTATTTATAATTTTTTTAAAATTTTTTTTAGAATAAAGATAATAAAAAAATTAAAAAAAAATCTACCAACCGAAAAAACTCAACTAAATATTTTGAAAATAAAATAAAATATTCTTCATTGTCATTTCACGTATAAACAGCTAATATCAAAACGCTATTTTACCAAACACTTTAATATAAACAACTAATCGAATAAGCTAGTCAAACCCGCTAATTGAATCAGCTGACAGCTATCAGCTAATTGCCAAACACATCCTTAGCCTTTTAATTTGTAGAGAGAGAGAGAGAGAGAAATCTATGTAATCACTTGATTTTATTTTATTTCTTTATTAATTTAAATAATTTGTTGGTGTGAACAAATTTAATAAAAAATTTAAACATATCCATTAATATCACATATTGTGTATTTTTGTGGGTGTGTGTTGACATTGGAGTTTTTTACCAAACAAACAAAGCAAAGGACAAAAATATTTATGGGATGGATTCACTTAGCTGATTTTGTAATAAAATAAATTTCTCATTCATACATAAAACAATGTTGCAAGAATTCCTATTTTAAGAAAATCATACACAAATTAGAATGCATGCTTTCAAATTATTACCACTTTTTACTTATTAGCAATTTTATAAATTTTGCTATCATCAAATTGACTAATTAAACAAATCACCACATTTCTTGTCTTATTCATTATCAATATTCATTTTAATTAAAAATAAAAGTAAAAGTACTATCATAGGTATTTAATTTATCATCAAATATATACTACCTCCGTCCCATAACTAGATATCCATTTACTTTTTACACTTAGTTTTAGAAATATTAATATTATATTACGATGCACTAGGAAAAAAATAGAAATGACTAAAATAACCTTATTAGTATGTGTGATATAAATGTAATGTCATTTGTGTAATATATTGTAAGTTGTAAGCGTATTTGTAATCTTAGGCAGATAATACAGTTATTAAAAAAGGAAATGAATATTTTGTTATGGAACGGACTAAAATGAAAAAATGCATACTTTGTTATGGGACGGAGAGAATATATGATTAGTTTCATTGCAATTTTTTTTTTTTTAATTTTAAATATTTTTAGTTAAATAATTGTTGGATGTAATGGTTGGGAGAAAATTTGATGATTTGAATAATAATGAATTATGATAAGAATTGCAAGTAACACAAGTTTTAATTTTTTAAAATTTATCATACAAACAGAATAAATTTGCATTGATGGAGTTTGATAGGAGGTTAGGATTAAAATATATATAAAAAATGAATTATGTATAATTTTTTATACTACTATAATATTATTTTAAATTATTGTAAATTAAAATTTTAGATGTGTATATGATTTGCAAGTGTTTTAGAATTTTAGATTAACCATGAAAATAGTTACATAAATAAATTAGAAATAAATATTTTTCACTTTGGTCGGTCCTATCAAAAAATATATATTTTATTATAATAAAGTAATTCTACATTAATATTAAAATATTTATAATTTTTATATAAATTACAAATATATAATTATATATATTATTATTTAATGCATAAAATACAAATACTATAATATTATAATATTCTTAAATATTTTTACTAATCACTAAAATATAATTATTTATTTATTTAAAAAATACAAAAAATACATATTTGAGAGTTTTTTATATAATGTATAGTAAATTATGTTGTTAATATAAAAATTATATATTTTTTTGTTGAATATTTATTTTTTTTTATGAAGGAATCAAATATATTACCTCCGTCATATTCTAGGGGTCCATTTACTTTTTGCGTGTTAATATTTGAATATTAATTATATATGAAAATATAGTAACAAATTAAAGAAAAATGACAAAAATATTTCTATTAGTATTTTATAATACTATTATAATAATATTTGTGCAAAAATTTATACAAATATAAATATATATTTAATATTAAATATACTGACGTAAAAAAATAAATAAGACCCGGCCGAACTAGAGGGAATATAATATATAAATTTGGAGTAAAAAAAATATTGTGCGGACAAAGCCAAATATTTTTGTTATGGAATAAGTTTGTATAGAAAAATAGAAAAATATTGTCAAAAGAATAGAGTTGGTGTGACGTCTTTGGATCGAAATTAATTTTATGGCCTATTATTTTAAATAAAATATATTTTTTTTTGAACTTAGACGATTTTTATAAAGAGAAATTTTGATTAATTGTGCAAAGAGAATTTTCAAAACATAAGTAGATAGATCCTAAATATTTAATTAAATAAATTAAGAAAAAATACTCCTTTGGTCAGACAAATTTATTATCATTTTATTTAGTTTGCTCATTAAATTTATCATATTAGTAATTTTGGTAAAATCAATAAATTAATATCACTAATTTTATTATATTTTTCTAACAATTACTTTACTTTTTGATTAAATTTTTAAAAATATTCCCAACTATCTATCATTTTTTAATAAAATATTTATTTATTTTTAATTATCGTGCCGAGCACAAATAAATTAATTTTAATGTACGAACTATGTAAATAACAACAATTTCAATTCAAACTTCTTCACAATCAAACCTAAATATAATAATATTAATAAAAATCCGGTCAAAATAATAATAATAATAATAGAGAAAATATCAGTATTAAAAAATACTAACAGGTAAGCAAAAGTGATTAAATGAGATATAAAATACACCAAATTTATTTCTTATATATATAAAAAAATAAATAAAAATAAAAAGATGTCCCCTGATCTTTGGACACCTCACGGAAGCGGCAGGGGCAAAAGCGTCATTTCAGGAGGGAAGTGGAGAGCACGCGGCGGGGAGCGAGTGGGGGAGGTAAAAAGGTTAATAAATACGAGGTACATGGTAGGATAGGCATTGGTTGGGAGAGCAAAAAGGGAAATTGTGGGACCCATTCCCGTACTCCTGGATTGGACTTTTCTGGAAAGTTTTTCCTTTTCTTGCAATTATTCCAATTTCCTTTTCTGAGACCAAACCCTTCTCTCCCATCAGCTATGGTCCTCACTCTCACCCCCTTCTGCAATTACATAAATGCCCCTCTCAAATTAAGTCCTCTCTCTCTTTCTATCTCTATATATATATGTAAGTATGTATTTGTATGTATATGTGTAGCTAATTGGGGTAAAAAATTGAATGTGGTGAAAAGATGGGTGAAATTGAAAAATAATTGGAGAAATGTGGGGGGTGGGGGGGGGGGGGGGGCTGACGTGGGGTTGAATGAATGAAAACGAAATGATAATTAGTGTGGCCTAATTGTGGTAATTGAGTAATAAGTCGTCTTTCTTGTGCTGGTGCTGTCTATTTCCATTACAGGGTATTTGTGCAGAAATCCGAGGAGAGAGGGGGGTGGGTGGGTGGGTAGGCGTTGGGGGTGGGGTGGGGTGGGGGGGTGGAATTGCTTTCGATTTGGTTAACGTCGGAAAGTTGTGTAAGAAAGAGATGGTTCTTTAATCCGTCTATCTCTCTCCTCTGTCTCTTATTTCTATACTTTTTTTTTTTTTTATAAAGGAATTAAATATGAAATTTATATACAAACGTACGTATATAGATACATACAGTGTATGTATAATGTATGGATACATTCTTTAATGGAAATAACCAGTGGGGAAAAAGAGGGTAAAATAAAAAAGTGGGAACAAGTTCTAGAGTGAGAAATTGTGATATAAATTTATTATTATTTTTTAAATAAAGCTATATATATATTAGCAATAAATTTTGAAATGTATATATATATGTATACAGAGTGTATGTAGATGGATAGATATATAGATACACACAAATATAGAGATAGAAAATGGTTAAGTTGGAACACATACAGCAGACATATATAAATAGAAAGAGTTTTAGAAAACAATCCCTCAAAAGTATTTATGACTTGATTGAACATACTGCAGCTGCAAAATAAGAATTATTAAAAATTTTCCTCTCTTTCTCTCTCTATCTTTCTTTCTCTCTCTCTTCTTCTGTAGTCTTAGCTTGCACCTCTCTCTCTCTCTCTCTCTCTATTTCAGTTTCTCTCTCTAAAAGTATATTATTATTATTATTATTATTATTATTGCCGCTTGCTTGCTTGCTCCAGTTTTTTTATAGAGATGGGGAAGGAGAAGGCTTTGCTTTCGGCCAAACCTTGAAATTTGGCCTCGTCTATGCACTAATAGGGCAGCTAGCTACAACAATTAGATCTGGGATTTTATTATTGCACTTGTTTTGGGTACTAGGTTGTTGTTTGTGTTCTTGCAAGGGACGACATAAATAAATAAATAAATATACATATGTATGTATGTATGTATATGTAAATTGGGATTCTTGTTGATCGATTGGGGGAATTTTTGGATTTGTGTTTGGGGGAATTTTTGATTTTTTTGAAAAAGAGGAGAATTTGGGGTCTGAGAAATGTGGGATCTCAACGATTCGCCGGATCGGCGACGGGACGGCGAATCGGAGGAGTGCTCCGAGGAGAAGGGTAAACGGGTCGGATCCGTCTCGAATTCGAGCTCGTCGGCGGTGGTTGTGGAGGACGGGTCGGAGGAGGAGGCCGACGGGGAGAGGGGCGGCCGGAAGCGGAGCAGCAAGATATTTGGGTTCTCCGTCGCCGGCGACGAGGCGGCGCCGGTGACGCGGCAGTTCTTTCCGGTGGATGATCCGGAACTGGAAACGGGTGAGGGTACGCCCGGGTTCCCCCGGGCTCACTGGGTCGGAGTCCGGTTCTGCCAGTCGGACCCTCAGGGCCGCGGCGGCGGAGCCGCCGCCACCGCCGCCCTCCTGGGGAAGCCGGCGGCTGAGATGGGCCATCAGCCTCTGAAGAAAAGCCGCCGGGGACCGAGGTCCCGGAGCTCGCAGTACCGCGGCGTCACGTTTTACCGGAGAACCGGGCGTTGGGAGTCCCACATATGGTACACATCTTCAACTTCCATTTTTATTTCTTATCGTTCTCAAGACACACAAAAAATAAAAAAAATAAAAATCTGATCTTCTGAATTTCTTACAGGGACTGTGGCAAACAAGTTTACTTAGGTAAAAATTTTCCTGTCCAAATTCTTGCCCCAACATTAATTATCTCTTCAAAATTCACTTTCTATTTTATTTTATTTTATTAAAAACCATTCTGTTCAGTCAACTGGGGTTTATATTTTGGTTCCAATTTTAATTAGGTGGATTCGACACAGCCCACGCAGCTGCCCGGTAAGCCCTCAAATCTGGAAAACATATACATACACAAATATATATATATATTCATATATAATTGTGGGTGTTTGTATTGTTTTTTTCAGAGCATACGATAGGGCAGCAATAAAGTTCAGAGGAGTGGAAGCCGACATAAACTTTAGCTTAGAGGATTATGAGGACGACTTAAAACAGGTAAGGTCAGAATATTTTACAGACAAGACAATTAGACAACCCACCCCATGATCTGATCCACCCCTTAGCCCATCATCATTTTGTTCTTGTTCTTGATTTAATTAAGAATTAATTTCCTCACTCCCAGAGAGGAGACATAAATTAATTAATCAATTAATTAAGCATATATATATATACATATATAATTTGTGTGTGCGCAGATGAGCAATCTAACCAAGGAGGAATTTGTGCATGTCCTAAGGAGACAAAGTACAGGGTTTCCAAGAGGGAGTTCTAAGTATAGAGGTGTTACTTTGCACAAATGTGGCAGATGGGAGGCAAGAATGGGCCAGTTTTTAGGCAAAAAGTAATTTATTTAACCAACCCTGTATTTATTTATTTATTCAAAATTCACTCATCTGATTAATGGGTTGTGAATAAAGTTTCAATCTTGGTTAATTTTTATTTTTCATTTTTTGTTGGGACAGGTATGTTTATTTGGGTCTTTTTGATACTGAGATTGAAGCTGCTAGGTGGGTTGGTTTTCTTCAATTGAATCATCAATATATATATATATATATTTATTTAATTTGTTGTTGTTATTACAGGGCTTATGATAAAGCTGCAATAAAATGCAATGGGAAGGAGGCAGTGACCAATTTTGATCCCAGCATTTATGACGATGAGCTCAAGGCCGCAGGTGATCATCATCATCATCTTCATTCATTCATTCAAAAAACTAAAAATAAAAATATTTCCAACTGCAAGAAAATCTTCGATTGGATTTTGGGGATTTCTGAAAAATTAATGCTGTCTGTTCACTGCCCAATATATATATATATATATATATATCTGTATGTATATCAGAATCTTCGACCAGTGCAGCAGCAGCAGCAGCAACAGCAGAAGAAGACGACCATAATCTTGACCTGAGTTTGGGAAACTCTTCAGCTTCTCAAAATCCCAATTCTTTCCAGATCGATTGGAGATCTTCCAACCCCAATCAGGTATATATATATATATATAGACAGATAGATAGATAGATAGATAGATACAGATTTGATTTGTTGTGGATAATCTTAATTAATGGATTGAGTTATGACAAACAATGTTAGAGAAGAGAGCAGATTGATCATGGCGGAGGATCATACAACGAGACAGAAACTTTGCAGCTTCTCAGCCAAACAAATCTCAACAATTCTCCCAAAATTCAACAAACCAAATTCGGGAGGAAGACGACGACGATGATGATCAACGACCCCCAAATTCATCTCCACCAGCAAATCTTCACCAGAAATCACTACGCTGTAATAATTTCTAAAAACTCTCATCTTTTTTAGAGGTGTCAAAATTAAATCCAATCCAATAAACCGACCCGAAATTTTCAGGTTTGGGTTGGGTATTTCAGGTTTGAAAAAAATAGATTGATAATGCGAAACGAGGAAAAAAAAAAAAAAAAAAAAAAAAACCAAAAAATAGGGTCTTTGTTAGGTTGGACTTGATAACCTAGATTATAAAAATAGGGTTGGATTTCAGGTTGTGTGGGTGGTTGATTTGAAATGATTTATTATTATTATTATTTTAAATTTATCTATATTATTTTAAAAATAAAATGATATAAAAATATAAATAATAAATCATTTTTTTTAGATTAATTTAATTTTTTTTTAAGTTTTTGGATTTGTTTAGTGTCGAATTTGTGTCGGGTTTGTTCGGGTTTCAGATGACCCTGAAACTAAATTAGGTCAATCTGAATCCGATCTGAAAGAATTTGTGTCATATTCGAGTCTAGGGTTTTGGGTCAAACTTCGGATTCGGATCGGGTTTGAGTTTATCGTTTTTGTGTTATTCCTATAGCTCAACCTGACATGAAAATGATTCGAAAATACGAATCGGCGCTACTAAATTCTTTTTTGTATTATTGTTTGAAATTCAAATTCAAATTAATTCGGCAGGTCCCTCACCACCAGCAGAGTCAATTTTCCGATGGGAGAAATTACGAAATGTTGCAACAACAACAATGGCAAATGAATCATCGTCATCATCAAAATTATCATCATCTTCAGCAGCAGCCACAATTGTATGCTACTGCTGCAGCATCATCAGGATTCCCGACGACGACGGCGGCGGCGACGACAATCCGACAGCAAAATTGGATTCAGAAAAATGGGATTCATCCGCTTATCAGGCCTTCTTCATGATCTTTTACATATATATATATATATGTATGTGAAATTTTATATATTTATTTATATATATATATATATGAGAATTAATTAATATCTATCTATCTATCTATCTGGTCGAGTTTTTCTGATGTCACAATTTTTTTGTGCAACCTTGGAGGAATGAAAACAAAGAATTAAATGGTGTCTCTATTTATCTGTCTGTATGCAGAGATTGTTATTATTATTATTATTTATTTATTTTGATTAAAGCCCTAGTTGGGTTTTGTCTAGATTAGATTTTAATAAGAATTGAGTGAATAATTATAAAAAATGGAATATTTTTTAACTGAAAAATAAAATTAGAAAAATGAAATAAAATAAAATGAAGGGGGAGGGGGAGGGGGGTGAATTGTCAACATCAGTAGTGTCCTTTGAATCAGTTCTTGATGACCAAAAGCAAACTCATTCAGACAATTGCTATTAATGATGAGAGTGACTTAACCTAACCCCAATACAATCTCTCTCTATCTATATATTTGTAGGCTCTTCTCTTACCGTGTTCGCTGTACCGTAGACACGATATTTTAGGAGGAGTATAATTAATAAATAATTAAAAATATAATAGTGAAAATAATTATTCGATAATAAAATAATTATAAATTAAAATTAAGATAACTAATTAGTTTAATTAAAATTTTAAAAAATAATATTAAAAAGTTTAAAATGAAATTAAAGTGTATAATCATTTTCCAAAAAAAGAAAGTGACATGGTATGTGGGACAGATAGAAACGGCAACATGGACATGGTACGCGGGACGGATGGAGTATTTCCTTCTCAATTGCGCGTAAAGAGTAATATTTGTTTTTTTACATCAATTTTTTAATATTCCCCTCGTCTTATAACTAAGTATTCATTTACTTTTTACATATTGATATTTAGATATTAATTATTATATTAAAACGTATTACAAATCAAGAAAAAATTACAAAAATATTTCTATTAATGTCTTATAATACTAATATAAGAATATTTTTAACGGTAAGTACAATGACGCAAAAAGTAAATGGATACCTTGTTATGGGACGGACGGAGTATTAGTATTATATTAGGTTATAGTTAAGAAAAAACAAAAATATTTTTATTGGTATTGTGTAATATAAAGGTGGTGATATTTGTGTAATATATTGTAAATTGGAAGAGTATTTATGATGTTAGGTAGGTAGTACAATTACTAAATTAGGAAATAGTATACTTATTTTGGGACAGACGAAAATGAAAAATGGAACCCTTCTTATGGGACGGAGGGATTATTTCATTTCATCTTAAAACAATAGTCATATTTTATCATTTTTATTCATCTTAAAATAATACTCCATCCATCTCATTGAAAAATTACTAATTTTCATTTTCGTCTATCCCAAAACAAATGTTATAATTTTCTAATTTAGTAATTGTACTATCTACCTAATATAATAAATAAATTTTAAACTTACAATATATTACACAAATATAATTACTTTTATATTACACCATATTAATAGGGATATTTTTATCTTTTTTACTACAATTCAATATAATACTAATATTAAAAAACTACGTGCAAAAAGTAAATGTCACCTTCTAATAGGACGGATGAAGTAGTTATATTTCTATTTTTGGTATCTCTATAATTTTTTTTACAAAATTATTCTCACTTTTTTTTACAATAATTACATAAAGTAGGAATATTTTGATTTTTTAAAAATACTTTTACACACACTATCAATGTAATACTATTATTCATTGATTCTCGTGATCACCCCAAATATCCATATTGGTATATATATATTTTGTTTAAATATTTTAGATATGGATAAACACAACTAAACTAAACTGTTGACGACAAATGAGGGACGATTGCACATCTAAAAGCTTAATCTGTTAGAATACACATTATTTATTTATTTACATTAATATAAATATAAGAAATTTTTACTGATCAGTGAAATTATTTCTTATTATTTATTAATAATATTTTACCAATATTATAAATTATATAAGAAATTTTTATATTTTTACTTTATTTTATGTATAAATTAATTGTATGTATAATAGTATTAGTGTAATTTATGTAAAAATTAAAAGTAATTAAAAGTAATTTAATATTAATGTATGCTTATTTTTATTAAAATAGAAATAAATACTTTTAAGTGAAACATATGAAAATAATAAAAATAAGACTTCAAGTTGAAACATAATAAATAGTATTTCCTCCGCCCGGCTCTAAGGGTCTCATTTGCGTTTTGCATCACTGTACCTAATATTAAAAATACTCTCTCTGTCCCGTTGGAAGGGTGGCGTTTGCTTTTTGCACGTAGATTTTTGAATATTAGTATTATATTAGATTGTAATAAAAAAGACAAAAATACCCCTATTAGTATGATGTAATATAAAAGTAATGACATTTGTATAATATATTGTAAGTTGAAAGGGTATTTATTATGTTAAGTAGGTAGTACAATTACTAAATTAGGAAATGGTAACCTTATTTTGGGACGGACGGAAATGGAAAATGATAATATTTCAATGAGACGGAGGGAGTATTTTTATATTTATATAAGTTTTTTCCACAAATTTCATTGTAACAGTATTATAAGACACTAATATAAATATTTTTGTCATTTTTTCCCCTTAATTATATTACATTTTTTTATAATAATTAATATTTAAATATCGTCACGAAACAAATAATAAAGTAATAATTTATTTATTTTTCACACAATTTTTTTAATATTACTATTTTATATGTATATAATATTAATAAAGTAATCAAACTTAGTATAATTTTACCCCTTACAATGTACTAGTTAAATTATTTTAATGGCATAATTATTAAATAACAAATAAATTGATTTTAGGTAAATCAAAACGACAAAACTGATTGACTAGATTTGAATATGGAGAGTATTATTATTACTATTATTTACAAAATATTCCAAATAAACATACTTGGGAACACAATCATGACAAATTATATATATATATATATATATTATATTAGGTTAGTAATGAAATATTATGTTGATAATATAAAGAATAATTATTACGTCTCACATCATATATTAAAATGTTTATATTTTTTATTTCGGTTTATTTTATATAATTTTTATTTTTAATTATATTTTAAATTTTATAATTTATAATTATTTTAATTTTAATTAAATTATTTAGTTATTTTAAACTTAATTCTATAATTATTTATATTATACAATAATTATTTTTACTGATGTACTTCATAATATTTTATCTAAATAGAAAAACTAATATTTTGTATTGAATTATTACTTTTTTTTTTATAAATAAATAAAATATATATATATATTATATTTTTCTAAAATAATATTTATAAGAAATCGTTACAAGCGTTTACTTAATGCGATAAAAATGTAAGTGCTAACACCCACTAAATATCTAATTTATTGCATTTTTAAATTACAACTAACACTTTATTAGAAATAAAATGATACCAACTTTCATTCAATTATTAAATATATATTTTTTATTTTATTTTTTCAATATGTACTATAATGTATCGACATATGCAGCATGTGATTGTCACACCCTAAATCGGGTACAATAATTTAATTTAAAATAAATGTGCATTTTGCATCATCTGCGACGTCATCATTTATTAAATTATTCACTAATTACCTTCTATTTTTGTTCATGTTGCCATTATTTTATTCGTGTTAATTATTCGAGAGTATTGTCAGCCTGTTACATGTAAAATTTAATATAGTAAAATAAAATAAAATAAATATGTACAATCATGACTCATTGGTTACTTTAATACAATTTTGGGACAGGATATGATTTGGTGGGCAAAGGGTCGTGAATCATGACACGACTCCTCTTTATTATCACTTTCGTAGAATAATAAAATAAAATTAATTAATTAATTAATTACGATTATGGAATAATTTGATTAAATTATTGGTCTGATCTTTCTTGCAACCTTTTGAGTGACAACTAGGTTTATTAAAATGTATACAAGTATCATTTTTTTTTTTAATATTTGTATGTATGTGTATATATGTGTATTTGACTAAGGTTGTCCCCAAGTCACCTCAGGTGGTCCATTATTTTCACATGACATATAATAATAATAATAATAATAATAATAATAATATAGTTAATTTTATCACATGATTACAAGAATTAAAGGGGTGTTTGGTTACAAGTTGAAACTGATATTTTATATCCTTTTTTTTTTTTGTTTTTATTTATTTATTGTTAATTTGACGGTGAGATTCAATGACATTTTTTTAGGAAATTATTGTAAAAAATATACTATATGTAAGTTTTATTATTATTAAATTATTATTATTTTGTATTTTTTTAAATAAAGGACAATAAATTTGTATGAAGTTTTAAAATTATTTTCTGACGTTAGAAAAAAAGTACGTGCATCTCATATGAACAAACGTGATCTTGTCTGTGCTCGTATGGAGTTCACCGGAGCCGATGTGATAAGTGACGTGGCCTTGTCTCCGACTACTGACATAAAAATTTGTACATTTCCTCAATTTGACCTATTGGAGGAAATTGTAAATACACTTGGTCCAATTGCTCCAAATTACAAACCCTAGAACAAACACAGACACTTTGATTTCTCTCTCGTGAATTCGCTCTTGGACCCTTCTTAGTCGGGATCGAAAATATCATCCTCGTCTTGTTAAAGTCTACCTGCATCCACCGTCGACCCCCGACGCATGCCATCCCTGCTTTCGCCTGCCGGTGTGCTGATGGAGAATTTTCAGCAAAGTTCAAGTGAACTTAAAATTTTAAAATAAATTTTTAATTTTTATTTTATTTTTATAAGTTTACAATGACTTTTTATTGTGAAATTTTGTACATTTTTTAGTAGTTTAGAATGAGATTTTGTTGCCAAAATTTTTATGTATATTTAAACAGTGAATGTGGGATCTTGTCGTTGACACATTCAGATTTGGAGTGTCATTGCGGAATAAAAATTGTAATGTACACTAGGTAGATAATGGATAATCTCGGAAGAAGGTTCAATTGTTATTACAAATTAAATGCATTGAATTTTGTGAATAATCGTAGGCTAGCTTGTATATTACAAACACTAATGGTTATTCGTTCGTCAAACATGTAAAGAGAAACCCGATCAAGATGTGATTTTTTTTTTTTTTTTTTAATGAGAAGATCTGCCAATGTGCAGTAGAGCAAAAGCATCATCTCGGTCTTATTGAAGGAGTTGAATTATCGGGATGTTGAAATTAAGTTATTGAAACAACAAACTTCAAAGGTCAACTATCGGGACAGTGAAATTATGTTACTGAAACAAGAAGTTCAAAATTGACGATTGTTGAATATTGTCTTATTCTTATTGTTTTATACAGTAACAATTGACATCTTTATATTTTTGGTAAAAATTATTAAATCAAAACATATTTAACAAATATAAATCAACTTAATTAACTACATAACATACAACATCATAAATGGCGTAGGTACACTCAAAACTCCTTTATTTCTACCTATCTCTTCAAAAAAATAAATATTTTTATCTATATTTAAAACTACGCATCTTTTATAAAATTGATTTATGTTAATTATAAATAAACAAAAATATATATTTTTTATTTACTTGTGTTATAGAAGATTTTATTCTCTACAAAATGATATCCATATTACATATATTTTTTAATTGCTATATAATTTTTAAATATTTAAACATGTATTTATAATTTTTTTAATAATATATATTAAATTTACTTTAAAAATATAAATATTATTAATTATACAAAAAATAATATAATAATATCATAACTAATTAAACATTCTCATCTTAAATAAATATGTGTCCCTAATCAAAGGGTTCAATTCCGATAGAATAGAGAGAGAGTATAATTTTATTGAAAATTATGCCCAATAAATAGTGTAAAAAATAATTTGAAATAAAAAGAAAATCCAAAAGGATTTAGGTTTTCTTGTTGTTTTTTTTTAAATAATCATAACTATATAATAATAGTTAGAGGATCAAAGCTATTTTTACCACAATCAATGAAGTATTCTTTTATTTACATTTTGTTAGGATTTCGAAATTTTTTCCCAAAAATATCAAATTAAATACCTATTTTTTTTATATTATACTAAAAATCAATTTTACATTCAAAATATCACATTAACTCTTATTTATATCACATCATACAACTATTCAAATTCAAAATTTTTACTATTCAAATCCTAATCCAAAATCCAAACCCCAAACAAACACACATGCTGATTTTGTTTTTCAGTCGGTACATATCCAACATAAAAAAAATATATATATATATACATGTTTGATTTTATATTAAAAATAATATTTTATATTAAATATTAATTTTTTTTATTAAAAAAAATATATATTAAAAATTTTCATGTAAATATTTGTTGGGCAATCAAACCCTCCAATATTTTGTTTTTAATTAACCAAAATTAAATTCAAAACAAAAAGAAAATAATCAGAAATAAACCCAAAAGTAAATTAGATTGAAAGTGTGTCAATAAAGAAGACGAACTGCCAGAAAAGTATACCAAAATTTCGACCGTAATGGGGTTTTTCGGCATGTCGGCAGCAAGGGTTTCTGGTTATTTGCGAAGAAGCGGTGAATTTTTTAAAAAATGCTTGTTTGAATCGTTCCAGATAGTCGCCTTCACTTGATTTTGCTGTTTCACCTCACTAAACAATGGCTTTGAAGCTCAATGCGTCTGCCACTCACTCCCCATAGGTTAATCCTCCTCTGTGTCTAACTTCACTTGTTTGTATGGAGGCGTTTATATTCGGTTTTCGGTTCTCTGTAGAAACTGAAATTATTCACTGTAATATCGTTGTTCTAAGACGGTACCCGTCGAGATAAATTTGATAGTTCTCACGAGAATCAGGAATTAGTCGAAAATTGCATTCATTCACGGGGGCAATGAGCAATCGTAGTTCCGTCTGTTTGCTTTTTAACTCATTTTGAAGCTAAAATGAATTTAGCAGTGAAATCTGGGCAACTGCTGCTTATATTGGGTATGGATTTAGGGGTGGTAGAGATATTGGAGGATATGGATTCTAGTTATATATTTAGTTGCTGATATTGCCATAGATCTTTCGTGGTAATTCACAAGTCCTAGTTAGGAATTAAACCTTCAAAAGCAGATAGATCTTCTTATGCTGCTCAGCCTGTGATATTTGTAATCGTATCGTTATTGACTCTTGTAATAATGCTTGAATTATTTTGCAGAGCTTTCCACTATCTCATGGGACTCCGTGCAGTACATTGAGTTTTAGACCAAATCAATGATGTAGAAATACCATGAAAGTATTTTGCAGCACAGGTATGGCTGTTGGCCATTCAGATGGTTCTAGAAAACTCATAATCAGTAATATTGCGAACAAGGCAAAACAAATTTGGGATAAAGCTCCCCAGCCGGTTAAGATAATTATGAACAATGCAGAACTGACATTTACTTTCATGTAGGTGAGATAAATTTTACATGCTCATAGAATAAAACCCTTGCTGACTTAAATCATGGAATATGATTAAATCTGGGACATAATAATCCATTAAAATAATCATATGAGATATTTGCCCCATTCATTGAAGTACACACAACTAGGGCGAATGAAAAGACTGTTAGCATCATCCCTGGAATGAAAAGGGAAATGAGTTCCTGCAGCAAATCCAAGTATGTACAGAAAGTCATAGAAGATGCCATTCTGTTTCTGCTTTCAAATGGAATACTGTATCAAGGAATTTGGAACTTAGTTGCTTTCTGCATTCTTTTCCTAGTGTTTTATCCGTCTCGTTATGTTTGTGCATAAATAAGGATCAGTTTAGTTTAATGTGCCCTATTATCCTGTTTTCAAAATTCTAGTAAAATTATATAATATTGATCTAGTTGTTAGGTGTACATTCTGCTTGGATTTAATAAATCTGCATATTGTTGCATATTAAATTTTGTTGGATGTAGATGAGTTATGTCTTGTGACAGTTGGGTTAAGAGTTAAATTCTTGTGCCGTTGTTGTTCATGATAGCTCTCCATGCATTTCACGCATTTGAGGAATTATATATATGATTCGTTCATCTTTGCTTGATAATTTACTTTATTTATTTGCAGAATGCTGAAGTTCCCTAGCTTATTGCTATTGCAATAGTTTTTGCTTTGCTTAAGATTCCTCGTCCTTACTACCCGTATTGGAGGTAGATTTTCATTCCACATTTTGCAAACGGAGCGCTGTGGAGGACACTGTGGTTCATTTTTCAATGGCACCGGTCACCCCAGAGGAAATCAGAATTTAGTTAGCTTGATGAAACTCCGAGAACTCTACAGGTACAATATCTTAGGCTTCAACCGCATAGTATAAATTATCATGAGAATTAAAACATGGCGAAGAATAGTGTTCGGGCTTCACAGTCAATATATATTGTCAATTTTTAATGGGTATGTGTTTAGGTTATTATTTAACTGTTATGTTGAGCAAGGGTTAGAGGATATTGATCAATTACTCACATCAATTTGATTGATTTATATTGTTAGAACTGGCAGTGATGCTGATATTCTTAGGAAGGTTTGGAACTACGAATAGTTATTGCCGATGTAAGTGTTGAATTCTAAATTGGATATCATGTAGTTTCATTTGAGTTGGCTGATTGTTGGAAGAGAATTTAGATTTCATCTTTGATTTTAATCTGAAAGTTGAGGGGATGATTGGTTGAATTGATTAATTACTACGAAAAGAGCTTGTAATAGGGCTTGTTCATCTTGTTTCAAGAGATGTGATCTTTGCTATTGTTTTGATTTTTTTAATGAGTTTGATGCTAAATTTTTAAAGACATTTGAGGATCGAATGGATATCTTGTTAAAGAAATGTTTCAGTTTAGATTGGTGTTATTGGTTCATTGGCTGCTCTGATTCTTACTCGTTCAAATAGTGCTGAATTTACTCGATGTTGTTAGTACAATGGTATTGCTGTCTCTGAAGGTAAAAAGGATTTGTTCTATGATTGATCTTTAGTATTTATCTTGTTCTCTAGCACAGGTTTGATGGAAAAAGATGTGATTCTTTGATTTGTCAGATAGATCTCGGTAATATGATAAAAACACAACGATGAAGTCATATTTATTTTCTGCCGTTGAGGATTTTTCTATCCATTCCACAAGTATGCATTCCACAAGTTTGAGCGTCATGCCTAATGGAATTATCGGAGCAAAGTCGGATATGGAGTTGAAGCCTTTATGGATGACAAGAAAATCTAAGTTTAAGGTATATTTAATTATCATTGAGTGTGAAAATTAACTATATTTATTTTTCTTACATCATTTGTTAATGATCTTAATGTATTTGACTGAGAATTTTTTTATCATAATTTTCCAAAATTAGGTATTTCCTTCTAATGAACAATGTTGGTAGAATGATTAATTAACCCAATCGCATTTTTGTTTATGAAATTTTCATTAATGTGTGCAGAGCTTTGGTAATTTGCTTGCAATGCCGGTGGGGAAAAAGCAAAAGCATTTTGTCAATGAAATTCTTCTAATGGTATAGCATGAGTTATACTCAACACTGAAATTTATTAATATATTTAAAATCACTTCTTTCCAGAGAATATTGCCATTATTTCTGATAAATTAGAGTTGCAAAAATAACTGAGTTTCATACATATTTATTTTCATGCAAAACATTTTAATTTTTTTTTACACAAATCAAGTTTCATTACCCTTGTAAATGAATCGGTTTTTGTAACAAAAAATATAAAGTGTGTGTGTGCGATAGTAAATCAATGAATAGAGTGTACTGAGATATTTGTGTGTGATCTGTGCGTTCCTTAATGGCTAATTCCCATAGATGAAATGAACGGACGATGATAGTGAAACATCTAAACATATATGTATAAAACAAAATGACACAATAAATGCATTTGATCATACTTGTCCATTTTAAACAGATTCTTGACTCACTAGTGTTTGGCAGTGATACTTAGATTCAGAACATTAAACATTTCCCTTATAATACATTTCTTTAATAAAAATTGAATTCAACATTTCCCTTATAATACATTTCTTTAATCAAAATTGAATTCAAATCAATAATTAAACAGGTCGACAAGGCTTTCATATATTTAACTATATTGAACTACTTAAAATCTATTAACGAATACGATGCAAAAGTCAAAATTCTAGACTTAAACAATCAAAGATAACTTGAAATTGTGGATAAAATTGCAGATGGAGAAATCATGATATTTGATTAATAACTACGAAATAACAATAATATCTACATTATGAAAGCATTAACAAATCAATAAAAAAGCAATAAATCTTCCTAAAAAATAAACTAAAATTGCCTAAGAAAGAAACTAAAACTGGGCGGTCAGGGGAAGAGTCTATCTCCACTCACCCGACCTCCTTTAGTTGAGAGAATTTTCTTACAGGATTGGAGCTCTCGGAAACAAAATAAAAGCTAAGTAAACTTGTATGTAGTATGTACTGTTGCATAGTCTTTTTATACAATTGAAATTTGACTATTTATATAGGTTTTCGGCAGTTGACAGTAGTTGAGTGATTACAGCAATTGAAAACAGTTGTTGTTGCAACAACTGGACAGTTAGACGGTTGATCGGTTGGAACTACTCTAACTTCTAGTTCGCTCGCTGCTGGATTGATATGGCTAGGCACAAATCTTCCTCGCTTGCTTTGCTGGACTTGGCTTGGCGGAGGGCATCGGCGCAATTCAAGTGGTGCTGTCGTCGCTGGCCGGTAACCGAATGGTTGACCGCTGGAAGATCAACATTTAGACAACTTTAATATTTCAGAATTTCGCTCGTCAATGATGGATGTATGGCTGGACCGACTTGGGTGCATGCGGAAAGAGCGTTGTTGCCGCAGCACGCTGGTCTTCTACTTTGACAATTTTTGGGCCAAAATATCTCTTAAAAAGGTTAAAAATATCAATAATATCCACAAGCGAGCTTTGGATTATATCAAGCGAAACAAATCAACATAAAAATTCAAGAAATATACAGTTTTATCAAGCAGTAAATATGCTATTATTTGGAGTTAACCTATTCTTTCAATTGCTTATACACCTATGCTTGGTGTTTTCAAATGAATTTCGAGATTGAAAACATTTTTAGAACATGGCTTTGCATTTTCGAAATGTGATTTTGGTAGATAGAACTGTTTTCTACCATTCGTTTCTTAGTGAAAGTATATACCTGATGAAAGACAAAAAAAGGTTGTATACGTTCTTCCTCTTATTCTTCTTGTTCCTCTGGTTCTTCCTCTTATTCTTCTTGTTCCTCTGGATATGGTAAATTCTCTCTCTCTCTCTCTCTATATATATATATATATATGTGTATATATTCTTGTGCATTTCCCTTTTCGCTCGCCTTTCTTGTATGATTGTGATTTTAATAGATAAACTATTTTCTACCATTCATTTCTCCGTGAAATTCTATATCTGATCTGATAAATCCTTTCAGTTTTTATTTTATTTAAAATTTTTAATTATTGTGCATTTTCCTTTCTGCTGGACTTTCTTGTCTAGATTGTCTCCCTCATGAAACAAGATGTGGTTCAAGTGGGCATCCTCGAGCTCATGGCCTTTTGGATCACAAGCAAACCTCGGTAGATCGTTTAGTGATCGATATTGTCATTCAAAGAAAAAAGTTTCAAGAGATGTAATTGTTTGGTCTGAACTTACTGGCGTAGGGTCTTCCGATGCTTCATATCCATTGTCAGGTGTGTTACTATTCTAGCTGATTCCCATTTCCTGTTAAACTTTACAATCATATGCACTACTCACTCAAATATTTACGGTCGGATTCTGTGTCAAGTTCAAACATCAGAGGAATATGCTTTTACAACCTAACAGCTTGCTGCCATCATCCTCTTTGTTCCAATGCTTCTAGAACATCCTTTTGTGCTCATGTTCGACTGGTGCCGCAGAAAAGCTCATTACTTTGTTGCCAAACCCTGGGCTTCTGTGACTGTTGCTCCCTTTATGAAGATTAAGTACGAAGGATTTTAGTTTTATGACTTAAGATCCTTGTGTTCGACTTTTGAACATATACGCACTTTTGACGCTTGGGAGAAGCATTAAGTTCATTAGCAAGACTTCGATATTTCTTTTCCCAATTATCGGTTGGGCCATGTATCTGCTGGGGGTAATACCATCAAAGCACGTGGACTCCAGAAGCCAATTGGTACTTATCTGTTCTTTGCTAATTCATTGTATGCTATTAATCCCGACTACAACAGTAACATTGAATTTGATTTATTACTGTTGTAGAACTCAAATTACATGTTTACTGTCTACATTTTTCTGTCTTTGCATGTAGGACTGCCTTAAGCGATGTATGGCTGTCATCATGCTTCTTTCCAGGCGGCACGCAAAGCAAAGGCGGACAATTAGGCTCTTTTAAGGTACAATTTATTTTTGTTCTGCTTGTCATTGTTTATGGATTTGTAATCGTGTATGATAAATGCATGCTTCATTGATCTCGATTAGTTGCCTCAATTATTGCTTCGATCTTTTCGTGATTTTCTTTAACAAGTTGGTACCAAAGATGTATATTCTAGAGAAACTGCGATAATTGCATCTCGTCTAATTAGCTATATGTGTGGGGAGACAAATAATTGTGTCTTTACTTATAGTTTGGGAATTGTAAATTTTTAGAGTAAGCAAGATTTTTAGAGTGTGTTTGTTTAATGCTTATAATTTTTGTTGTGAGATATATAGGATATTGTGGAAGTAGTATAAGAAAATGGTGTTTTGTTGACTTTTTATTTTTAAATGTATATTGTATTTTTTTGGATAATATTTTAAAGGACACGTATAATATTAAAACAAGATTTTTAAAGTGTGTTTGTTTACTGCTTATAGTTTTTTTGTGAGATATATGATTCTGTGAAAGTATTGTAAGAAATGATGTTTCGACTTTTATTGTTAAATGTATATTGTATTTTTTGGATAATATTTTAAGGGAACACATTCTTGGTAGATTGGCAGTTCTGTTTCTATTAATTAAAATTGTAATTTCAGCTAAGTGCTGCTGCATGCTAACTTATAATCATTAATAAACATGCGTCACTTATATACATACTTATACAATATATATATATATATATAAGCTTTATCTACTCACTCACGAAAAATCAATAATAAGTACAAAAAATTATTGATTATATTAGGCGGCTGCTACAGTGCTGAATTTATAATAAGTACAAAATTTAACGATATATGATATAATCTCACACAACACATACAATACTTAATTTCAGCAACTGACATACTCTTATACAGCAGACGCTATAATTATGAACCTGTATATAATAAAAATGTGTACTATTTATATATTTTAAGTGTGCTAATTTTTTAAATTTCTAAATTCAGCACCATAATCTTTTTCATTATATTATTGATATAATTGCCTATATCTAATATAAAAAGTACTTATCTAAAAAACATACCAATGTTTAAGTACAATTGCCTATATACTGTCTTTTAATTATTGTCCTAATAAAATATATCAAGGGTGTGTTTGTTTGGGGGTTTGAATTTTGAGTTGGGATTTGAATAGTAAAAATTTTGAATTTGAATAGTTGTATGATGTGATATAAATAGGTGATGATGTGATGTTTTGAATGTAAAATTGATTTTTAGTATAATATAAAAAATGAAAAATAGGTGTTTGATTTGATATTTTTGGGGGAAAAATTTTGGATGAATAGTGAAATTTTATCCAAATCCATCAAACGAACACACCCTTGAGTGTCACAGTCTCTTATTTTATTACTGTGACCGCAAGTGGGTTTCACGGCTTGTCATATCCACCCTTTGGTGCCATTGATTGACACATGGTATAATATTGGATAATATAAAAATATGTAAATGGTATTTTTAGTAAAATTGTGATATGTACATGATATATTTTTCTAGAGTTTATGAAGTGCCAGTCATTGCGACTTAGGATAAAAATTCATGCATAGGTAATGTACTAAAATAACGAAATTGTGATAGATGCATAATATATTTTTGTTAGGGTTACAATTAAAAGACAAAATTAATAATTGAGCATACATGCGAGATATTTTTTTCAACATTCCCTTATTTCTTAATATACAAACTTCAATAAATTGAAGGATCTTCACCATCAAACCGTAGAATACGAGAAATGCTTAAAGATTCGTTTGAAAAAATTGCCTATCCTTACCGGATAAATGTCCGGGACTTGTAGTCGCTCAACAAAACACCTTCGGGTTTTATTCGAAGAGAAGGGCGAATTGTGAGGAGACCTAAGAAGCAATCAAGAGGGACCCTCATGCCCCATACGTTGATGGACTCGAGCTTTTGGCATTTATTTACAATGTCGACAAGTCCAATCTCACTTACTTGACGGCATCCCCACAAAACTAGCGACTACACGAAAAATTTACCATCTTGCTAAAAAATTTACCCTCGATCTAGTGAGTTTACTTATTTAATTTTTTGCAAGAGATTCGTACCTTTAGGTTAGGACAGCTTTCGGCAATGGCAAAAAGGGAAGCATCTGTGATGAATGTACCTCCAATGTTGAGGTGTCGTAGAGAATTAGTTCGCGAAATCTGAAAGATAAAAATGGTTGTCAATTAAGTGTCGAGAAATAATGTTAAAACCAATGGCGAATGCTTGTAGAATCGACAACATACAAGTTGAATAACTCCATTGTCTGTGATTGCTGTCGAACCCCACAGAGAAATCGACGACAGATTGCTAATACATTTTGCCTTCGACAGGTGCTCGATTCCACGATCTGTTATTTGGCAACCCCATCGACTTCTTGATCTGATTTCAATGACATAAACTAAAGAATCAAAGGCATACATCTCTAGTTTCTGCGTCACACTATACACAAATTTCAATCATAATTAATTTAGGTAAAATTGTTCATAACTCCCATGTGGTTTCGAACTTCAGCATAAAATCTTTCTATATTTTAAAATTTATATGACACCACCTTATATTTTAAAAAATATTGCATGAATTCCCACCACCATAAAACCTCCATTGTGTGATGAGAAGATGATTTTCTATCTATATTTTTTGTATGACAGGGGTTTCATGCAACATTTTTTATGCAATTTTTAAAGTAAAGTGGAGATTTAAGCTGAATTTCAAAACCAAAGTGGTTTCATACAACGGTTTTAAAAGTATAAAAGAGTATCATTTTAAAGTAAAGAGGGAATATCGGCTAAGTTTCAAAACTACAAAGGAGTTATAGACAATTTTGCCATTAATTTATAGCATTTGATCACAATTGTTCAAAGTTTGAAACTCGTTCGATCAGATCATCATGATAAGACATTCGAGCAATAATTCATCACAATGGTTTAGATTGAATTATTTTGAAGAAAGGATTCATAGCAACACTAAATAATTTAAGCTATTCAAATTTGTGTCCAGAAAACTAACTTTAATGGTGTATTTGTTTGGACGATTTTGGAGGACTTCCGCTATTCGCACCAAAATTTTTCTCCAAAAATATCAAATCAAAACACCTATTTTTTATTTTTATTTTTTTTATTATCCTAAAAATCAATTTTATATCTAAAATATCACGTTAATACTTATTTATACCACGTCATACAATTATTCTAATTCAAATTTTTTAGTATTTAAATCCCAAAGAAAAATTCAAACCTTCAAACAAACACACCCTAAATAATGTCAACTGTCAAGCCCTAATTCTTAACAAATTGAGGGAAAAAGATGAACACAGCGTCTTACATATCGAGCTCCTTGAGGCCATAGGAGAGATTCACCAAGCGAGCGGTGGATTCATCGTCCATTTTCCAACCAGAAAAGCTTAAGCTCTCCCTCCGCGCCAACGATTGTTCCACTCCCTGCCTCCATTTCGTACATACTCTGCTTGCCCTAACCGAACAAGCGCAGAGATAACAGGAATTTAATTGCACAAGAAAAAAGCAAAACCTAATCGGAAAATCAATTCAACCAAAATCGAACATTCTAAAGGCGAATAATCGAAGAATCCAGTGCTTACTGAGCTAAATCCTTGAAGCAAGTAATTAGGCAGAAAATATGGGCCAATAAATCGACCGGCAGGCAATCGATTGCCGCTTCGTCTGCTCCGGCCATTGCTCCGACGCGTAGACGGCATAGAATTGGGAGAAAATGTAGCCGAAAACGAGGCGCGAGAAAGGACGAGAGCGATGAGTTGAGCAAAAAGTGTCGTCATCTTTTTGACATGATTTCACCATTCTTTGATTTTTGAACATTTTGTAGTCTGTGAGCGTAAGCTGTAACAGTAACACTGAAAAGGACTGAATTGTAACTTTACTAATTTAAACTGTTATCCTCCGTAAAAGGTAAGGCCGATCATGATCCATTCGTTCCACCTCTCGTTATTATTATTATTATTATTTTTTTTTTGGTATTAAAATAATGTATAATAAATATTTTATGGGTAAAAAAAATATTTTTTTTGTGCCACTTAAATTGCTTACTTTCAATTAGGCAGAGAGTTTTTGTTAGGTATTGAGTAATCAGTAAATAACTAAGAACTAGTGTATTAATAAAAATAATTATAATTTAATAAAAATAATTATAGATTAAAATTTAAATGATTTAATTAAAATAATAAATTATAAATTATAAAAGTGTATAATTATATTTAAAAAAACAAATTAGATAGGACAAATAAAAATAAAAAGAATAGACAAATTAAATGAGACCGGAAGAAATATTTTTTTTTTTTCAAAAAATATAAAATTCAAATAATAAAATTTTTGAAGAAACACACCCTGTAACATATTTTAATTATATTATAAATTGAATAATCTTAATTAATTATTTTAATTTGAATATATAATTATTTATATTCCATTCGTCTGGTTGTTGAGATCTCATTTATTTTTTGCGTTATAGTACTTAACATTAAAAATATCTTTATATTTGTATTTTTTTTTTTTTTTTGCATAAGTGTCATTGTATATAATATTATAAAATACTATAGAAATATTTTTGTCAATTTTTTTTAATTTATATTATATTTCTATATAATAATTAATATTTAAAAATCAACAAGCTTATATTTTAATTACTTCACAAGAATATCATACCGCTTGACCATCCTGAAACTTCCTATCATGTTTAAAGACTATAATCTATGGCTGTGTTATATGTTTGGATTCCAGCGTGATACTCCCTCCGTTACATAAATATAGTCTTAATTGGATTAGACACGAGATTTAAAGGATATTGATATTATATTGGTAGTTGATAAAAAATATGAATAAAAGATATTGAGTGTATTAGTGTAAAAAATAGTGATAATTGTGTAATAAAAATGAAAAAGTAAGTGTAATTTTACAGTGATATGATTATTTATGAAAATAAGAAAATTATTTTGGGACGGACAAAAATGATAAACAAGACTATTGTATTAACACGAATGAGTATTTTTCAATATATATATATTTAAATATACTCATATATACTCTTTTTATTCAGTAAAAATGTCTCACTGAAATTGACTCAAAATTTTGAAAGGTAATTTTATTGAGAAAACTAAAGAAAATATTTAAAAAAATTTAATTATTAAAATTATGATAATTAAAATAATTAAATATCAATTATAATAACATATAAACTTGTTAAATGAGCTGAATGAATGAGTATTATTTAAATAAAGAACTTAAGATAATAAATAGTAAAATAATTTATTTGCACCAAAAAACAGAAGTTTTTTTTTTTTAATCATAAAAAATTGATTGGTATACCTTCTTAGCATAAGAAAAACCCATATTATTTTTTTAATTATAAATTACTAAAAATCCACATCACATAAAAATATATGCCAAAAGTAAATATACCTACTTTTTTCATGACGAATAACATATTTTTTTATCTCAAAATATTAATATTTTAAATAATAGTATATTTGCTTTTTTAATAATATATATAATTAAGATACTATTTAAAATAAAATAAAACAAATTAAATCAAAACACAAAGCAAATTGTTTTCCAAAAATAAGACATACGTAGGTTCTTTCTTGCATAAATAATAATAATAAAACATACATTTGGGTATGGGCTTGATCCAATCTATCTGTCCAGCCCATATTGATATTACCACTCTATAATTATTTCAATCATTAATTGCATTTATAATTTAGTAATTACTAAAAAAAATATTAATAAAAATAATTATAGTTAAAATTAAAATAATTAAGTAATTTAATTGAAATTAAAAGATTAAAAAAAAATACTACATTGTGTAATTTTATTTTTTTTTTCAAAAAGAGAATAAGAAATAAGAAAAAAAATACTTCATCCGTCCAAGCAATAAGTATACATTTATTTTTGGCGCAGAGTTTAAGAAATAATATTATTTTAATTATAGTGGATAGGTAAAAGTAGTGTAATGACATTTTTGCTCTTTTTTTTTGGTATAAAAGTAATGATGTGATATAAAGTAAGGGTATTTGTGGAAAAAATAAAGATTTTAATGAAATGGTTATTTTATAGTTGGACGTCCCAAAATAGAAATATGCATAATTTGTAGCTGGACGGAGGGAGTATGAGATAAATTAAATCGACCATATGAATAGAAAATATAAAAATAAGAGTGTGTTATATTTAAATAATAAATTGATAGTTATTTTTTATATGTATAAATTTTTCTTTTTTTTTTTCTTTTTTTTGCTTTTATAGTTGAATTTGATATAATAATATTAAATAAATTTGATGATATTTATAATAGGCATATTATCATATTTATTAAAAATACATATGTTTTGTGTTTTAACAAAAAAAAAAATTGATAATATAATGGACTTGAGAATAATAAACTATTATACTATTCCCTCCGTCCCGCCGACCCATTTTTCTTTTTTTGTACGTCACACAAAAGATGATCCATTTTAATTTTTGGTAACTTTATCAATTTTAAACATACTTAACAAATATAAATCAATTTAATTAAACTTTTGACATGTTACACGTAGGATTCATTCAAAACCTCTTTATTTCTATCTCTCAATATACTTTTTTATCTATATTTAAAACTTCTCATTTTTTATTTATTTGTATTATATAAAATTTAATTATCTACAAAATGATATACATATATTTTTTCGAGATATAATTTTAAATTTTTTTAAAATACTAATAATATTATTTATATAAAAAATAATAAACTAATATTATAACTTATTATTAATATCTTACTAATTTACACTATTCAAAAAACAGTGTCTGTAACAAAAGAGTTCGTTCCTCTTGGGACGAAGGGAGTATTATTCACTGCCCACTACACATACAAACACGTATATAATATATATATATAATATTATTTAAACGTCGGTGGGCAGCAGTCACGAAAATTTATTTTCATTAATTAAGAATTTTATTAAAATTCTAATGACATTTTAAAAAATTATTTTTTCTTGGAAGAGTACACAGCATAATGAACAATACTAAGTTAATAACCTCAATTTTCCATAATTTTTAAAATTGGCAAAAAAATTAAAATCGAACAATACTAAGAAAACCCACAAGATTTTCAGTACGACTTTAATTAATCAATTCCCAATTTGGTCACTGATGAAGACAACACGATTTAGCTCTCAAATAAAATCAACAAAAGGCACATAATAAAATAATCTTAAATCCCAACAGACAAACTTTAATTAATTAATTAATTATTTATTTATTTAAAATACCAACTGGCATTGTCTTCTGTGTACTCACTATCTGACTCTATCTGTCCCCTTAATTAATTGCTTATTATACGCAACCATCTTTTCTGGTCCCCACTCCAGCTCCAAACTTTCAAACAAATCCACACCGTCCATAATAAAATTAACGGTTGCGATCAAATCCGGATCTCCGCACCCGGGAGCGACTAATATTAACAGCCCGGAACATATATAGGTTGGGTTTTCTGTACAGATTTTATTATTATTTTTTTAAAAAATATTAAATTAAATAATTATTAATTATATTATAAATTTATTTTAGTATCATCTATATCTGTTTATATCACCCATATTATTCCATAAGAAAAGGCTATAAAGAAAATGAAAATCTAACGTGCTATGTCTTATTTCTGAGATCTATCAATTTTCTTTCTTCTTCTTTTTCAATCTGCAGTTTGATCGGAGCTATTCTTTTTTTTTTTATTTATTTAATTTTCCGGCCGGTTCAATGTCGTCGTCGATGCACACAAAAACCGATTCGGAGGCGACGAGCAGCCTGGCGCCGTCGTCGCCGAACCGGGCGGTTTATTACGTGCAGAGCCCGTCACGTGACTCGCACGACGGCGAGAAGACGACGAACTCGTTCCACTCGACGCCGATCCTCAGTCCGATGGGGTCTCCGGGACGGCAGTCCCGGGACTCGTCTTCAACCAGGTACTCCGGGTCCTTGAAGCCCGGGTCTCAGAAGTCCAGCAACACCGGATCCTCCCGGCGCCACCACCACCACCGTAAGTCCGGGAAGCCGTGGAAGGAGTTCGACGCCATCGAGGAGGAGGGCCTCCTTGATGACGACGGCGGCCGCCGTGGCCTGACGCGCCGCTACTATTTCCTCGCCTTCGTTGTCGGCTTCTTTGTTCTTTTCGCCTTCTTTGCTCTCATCCTTTGGGGGGCCAGTAGAAATCAGACACCTGTCATTGTCATGAAGGTACAGAATACATACAGATATATATCGATTACCCTTTTCTTGAATTTGGGATGCAATCCAATTTAGGGCAGAAATTTCAAGTTCTTGATTCTATTGATTAATTTCAACCAAACATAGCATAATGTGTTGTCTGAATTATTACATTATCAAAACATTATAGAATTGTATTTATTATAGCAGCCGAATTGATTGATTGATTAATTGATCATATAAATGATATATACATAATTGATACTAATATAGCATTTTAATTAGTGAAATATTAAATTAGTTAACCATAAGGTCACGGATTCAAATTTTGCCGATATTTTTACTTAAATTTGCTACATTATTAAACCTTCTAATTATACATATGAATGTTGTTGTTTGATGCAATGTAGAGTATTTTGTTCGATACATTTATAATTCAAGCGGGTTCGGATTCCTCGGGCGTGGGCACGGAAATGGTGACGATGAACTCGACCGTCAAATTTGTTTTCCGAAACAGGGGAACCTTCTTTGGAGTTCATGTCACTTCTACGCCATTGGATCTTTCTTTCACCGAGCTCACCGTAGCAAGTGGGATGGTAAGTACTACGCCATTGTGTGTTTATAGAGTATAAAGAATCATACGATAATATAAAAAATAATATTTTACATTAAAATATTAATTTTTATAAAATTTGTATATTGTGTTAATTACTATCTGGATATATAATATTTTTTTTGATAATATTGATAGAAATCGTGCCATAGAAAAATACTAAGTGAAATCACTCATTATTTTTCGACTTTACATTTTGAATTTAGCCTACATAAAATGACTAATCTACGGAGACATGATCTCGATTTAAGTCTTTTGATTGGAATGTTGCAGATGAAAAAATTTTATCAGTCGAGAAAAAGTCATAAAACGGTGACTGTGTTACTCTTAGGGAACGGAATACCACTTTACGGAGGAGGCGCCACTCTAAGTAGTAAGGAGGGTAAACCCGAGATTCCGGTGCCGTTGAATTTGAACTTCACAGTTCGGGCTCGGGCCTATGTCTTGGGCCATCTTGTGAAGCCCAAATTTCTTAAAACGGTCCAATGTTCGGTGGTTTTGGACCCGAAGAAAATGAGTATGGCCGTTCCTTTGAAGAACAAGTGTACTTATTCCTAACGATATTTCAAATTTTTTGATGACAACACCTGGGAAACCATAATGGGGCGATCTTGAACTTTGTTGAAACATCTAGAGGTGAAGAAGGTAAAAGTGGTAATAATTTCGAGCATTTTGTTAACGATGGAACTACGTATTGGTATTTTCGTGGTGTTGTAAACCGATACGATTGTTCTAATATTTTGCGATGCTAATAATATGTATGCTTGAATCGAATATTGTTGTGTTGTATGTTTGTAATAATTTTTGGTGTTATCGCATCTTTTTCATAACTATTTGTTTTAGACAAAAATTGTTGTACTAGAAAAATTGATTTTGATCTTGAGTATCGTGTGAGAATTATTTATGGGTTTTTGTACAATTTGATGCACATTTATATTGAAGAAAAAATAGCAAAAACAAGTCCCCGCAAGGGATGGCCTGGTGATGTAGGGATTGGACATGTGACCATGATGTCATGGGTTCAAATACAAGAAAAATGAGAATTGAATTATTGATTTTAAAATACCTATAAAAGAAAAGAAAAAAAAATTGAATTTGAATAAATAAGGGCACACAATAGTCCATTGCAAAATATTTTTGGGTGTGTTTGTTTGTGGGTTTTAGTTATTGAGTTTAATTTTGAATAGAAAAAAATTGAATTTGAATATTTGTTTAATCTGATATAAATAGAAGTTGATGTGATATTTTGAATGTAAAATAAATTTATAGTTTCATATAAAAAAGAAAAGAAATTATTTGATTTGATATTTTTTGAGAAAAAAAATCTAAATAGTAAAAACCTATAGTAAAACCCATAAAAGAACACAACCTTTTGAGTGTGACAAAAATGATAACGTATCCTGCATCAATTTTGAAGATCGATTTTCCTACACAACATTATGCATAATGGCTTTAAAATTCGTAAACAAATTGGCTTCGATTAAGAGTACTATGAATTCTCAAAAATATTTTCAACACACCAACATACCAAGGAATCACCTAAAGAGGAAAAAATCAATTTTTTTTGCTGAAGGAAGGAAAAGTATAGGTAATCTGAGAAGGATAATAATAAGATGAACAACAACAAAAATCCTTTAAGAAATCCGAATGTAGTCGAAACCAATGAACATATTTTCAAACCCCGATTGCAAAATCACAATCACCTGTCGAGTTTCCAGTGAAGTTCTGAAGATTTTCTCGGTGTTTTCATTGTCGTCTTGCAATTAAGATGTTGGATCTTCGATGAAAAAACAGATTTGGTTTGAAAGTGGTGGGCATTTGCGACTGTGTTTCTACGATAACGCAGATGGGGAGATAAAGAAGAAATTAAGAGAAAACCTACCTCGAAATGGCCTCGCCCGCATCACGCGATCGCGATTTAGAATTGAGATTCTGATGTAGAAAATACAACCATTGCGGAGGAATTATTTCAAGCGTCTGACACGATCCCCTCGATACCTCCTGCGAGGGTCTCTAAAAATGAACCACAATGTATGCTCTAACCTCATTCAATACATTGTAATTTTATAGATAATATATGATTTTTGTTAAAATAATGCATTTTGCATATCATCATATGTATTGTCAATTATATATTAATATGTGCTAAGATCAATAATGATATGTGATGTGCTAACTATTTTCATGTGATGTTAATTTATATATTGCATTGTATTATATTAACATAAACTATGTGTTATACTAATATATGATATGTGCACATGTTATCTAAATTATTATTATCATTATATGTCATCGGTACATATATTTTATTTATATAATATTAACATAAACTATATATTGTCTTTTATTTATAATGAATTGTTTCTGCATATATAATGTGTTATCGGTGGGATGTTGAATAATATTGTTCTAATCTTCTAACAACCATCCTCTTGAATGATAATTTCATTTAAGATCGGTGACTTGTATTAAATTTATTTATGTTGGGATATGAAACCTGATTATATTTTAAAATTAGGGATATGATTTACTTATTATATTCTAAATTTTAAAGATATGATTTGAATATTATTGGCATAGGCTTAGCCTATAAATATCCATGTATTCTCACTTTAACATGTGTCTGCGTATTTTATAATAAAATTCCTAGCTTGGCAGCGCCCTTAGACGTAGATCATCGTGATCGAACTACATTACCAAATTCTTGTGTTCTTGTGTCATTGTTTGTCTCTTCTTGATTTCCTGGAATTTCCGTATCAAGTGGTATCAGAGCCTGATTCGTTGGTAAGGTGGATTGGGAGGCATCGGATATTCATTGTGGCTGTGGAAATCCCTTTTGACCTGTGGAGGTGCCTTTTGTCGAAAGTCTCTTGGCGGTGGCGGTGTTGGGTTGGTCCCAACAGTTCTTGTAGGTCAGACACTGGGTCCCTTTGTGATAGGCGGTGCAAGGTGGGCAGGAAAGGATAAGGGTTTCGGCAAACACAGCGGAGGAGATATCCGATTGCTCTCATATTAAGTGAACCTTAGGTTTGTTTGTGGGAGTCAAAATGAGTGATCGTCGTGTTGTCAAGGTATTCGATGTAATGAACTTCGGTTTCTGGAAGATGCAGATAGAAGATTATCTATATGGTAAAGATCTAGAAGCGGCGTTAAAGGAGAAACCTGAAGACGCGGATGAAGCCGAGTACAAGAAGATCGACAAGAAGACGATGAGTGCGGTTCGACTAACCATTTGGGAGAATGTCTCGACTGAATTCAAATCTGAGGCAAAGGGAAATGTGAAGATCAAGAATGGTCAAAGTTGAAGTTGAAGAACAAGGACAAGGAACATGCAAGTTAGGTGGTATGTTGAAACTGCAATGAGCACTTGAAACGAGAGTACGGGGCGCCGGAGAAGGATCAGGGTTCGGAAAACATAGCGGAGGAGATATCCGATGTGTTGATTCTGAGCGTCAGGAGTCCCATGGAGTCATGGATCTTGGTCTCAGAAGCGTCATTCCACTCATGCAGTGATTTGAGAATCATGGAATCCTATACCACAAGTAATTTTGGTGTTGTCTATCTAGCAGATCATGAGACACTGAAAATTGTAGGTAAATGTATGGTTCGAATTAGAACACAAAATGGTGGGAAGTGGAGACTGAATGACGTGAGGCATTTCTCGGGTCTGAAATGGAATCTGATTTCTGTGGGACAATTGGATGAGGTAGGTTACTCGACAGTTTTTGAAACTAAGTTGTGGAAGGTAACTCAAGGATCCATTGTGGTGGCCCAAGGGAGAAGAGATTGAACTCGCTACATGACAAAAACCATGCAAGACGAAATCAGTTCCGCGACCATAAATAGCGACACAAATTTATGGCATTCTCGTCTCGGACCGATGAGTGAGAAGGGGATAAGGGAGCTCGTTTCAAAGGAAAGATTGTCAGGTCTCAAGTCTGTCGATATTGGAGTAAGCGAGGTCTATATCTTTGGAAAGTAACGAAAGGTGTCGTTCTCAAAGGGTGGGAGAGACCTAAAAAAGGAAAAGTTGGAGTTGGTTCATACGGACCTGCGGGAACCAGCTTTTGTATCGACCCTTGGAGGCTCACAGTACTACACTGCAGTCATTGATGACGCTACAAGGGAGGTATGAGTATATTTTCTTAAGTGTAAAAATATGATGCTTTTGATACCTTTAGGAGGTGGAAAGCACGTGTAGTGGGAATAGTGAGCCGATTTATGAGCAATCCTGAAAGACATCCTAAGGTGATGACCTTAGATGAATTGAGGTTGTGTTCAACCTCAAGTGGCCTCGATGAGTGAAGAAAAGGTTTGGCGCACGCCCCCTTAGGTGCAAGTGGAGGTATACGAAACTTGCACATGCATATGTGTGCAAATGGGGACGGTGAGACTCAAACTCAAGACCTAGCCAGGCTCTGATACTATATCAGATGCTGAATGACCGTCTCACTTAAAAGCTCGAATTGTTAGGAAAACTCAACCATTATTCATATGTCAGGAAACGGGAGTCCCAACACTTACCCTATAGATATTCATGTATTCTCACTTTAACATATGTCTGCGTACTTTATAGTAAAATTTTTGACTTAACAGCGCTTCCAAACATAAATCATCCTGATCAAACTGGTCATCAAATCTTGTATCATTCTTTGTCTCTTCTTGATTTTATGAAATTTCTGTATCAATTGATATGTATACTGCTTTATGTTTTGTTATTAATTATTTCTCAGGACAATACACATGACAAATTCAAGTTAGAAAGAAAATTAGAAAGAGGGAAAAAAAATAAAAATAAAAATAAAAATTTCTTTATAAGATAGACAAAAATACACAGAGAAGAGATGTATCAATCTCAAATTCAATGCATGTATGTAATGTGGGCTTAAAAACAGAACGGTCCAATGCACATAAGCATAGGAAACATGAAATGGAACAGATGTAAGAAAAATAAATAAGGAAATCCAAAAAACAAGTAAAACGTGGTGGGAAAATGACAATACACTGATCCATTGGCCATATTATTATTATTTTATTATTATTATTATTATTATTATTATTATTATCATTATTATTATTATTATACATGAATGATGATCATTGTCATTACATGGGAAAAAGCATTTGCAGTATTCTTTTTAGTGCCATTTTAATTAGTTCATGTTCTATTTAGATAACGATTTTTTTATTTTTGTTTTAAAATTTGGAAAATTTAACAAGAAAAAATTGAAAATTTATTATGATGTTCTATAAATATATATTTAAAAAATTCGAATATAAATATTGCAAAGTTTGTTGGCAAGAAAATTAGTGGACTATATCCAATTTGGAGATGCACAAGTTCCTCCACTCCACGAACTTCCATGTCTTCCACGTTTACTATTATTTATATTCATTTTAATTTAAATATCCTCGAAAATTAAAGGGACATTTTTAAGGTGTGGTTTTTTAACATTTTATAACTACATATTTTCTCCTAACATATATATTCATTGTTTTATATTCCTTTCGTCCACATATTTTCTCCTAACATATATATTCATTGTTTTATATTTCTTTCGTCCATTGTTTACATTTACTTTTAGCGCAGTGTTTAAAAAATAATAGTATTTTAAATATATTGAGTAGTTAAAAATAATGTAACGATATTTTTGTCCTTATTTTTTTGTGTAAAAGTAATGATATGATGTAAAATAAGAGTATTTGTGAAAAAAAAAGTAGGGTATTTAACGAAATATTTACTTTATAATTGGACGTCCTAAAATAAAAATATGTAAATATTGTAAGTGGACGGAGAAAATATTTCTTATACTCCTTCCGTCTTATTGAAAAGTTGCCATTTTTCATTTTTGTCCGTCCCAAAATAAGGTTACTATTTCCTAATTTAGTAATTGTACTACCTATCTGACATAATAAATACCCTCCCAACTTACACTATATTACACAAATACTATTATTTTTATATTACACAATACTAATAGGGGTATTTTCATATTTTTCACTACAATCTATTATAATATTAATATTAAAAAATCTATGTGTAAAAAGCAAATGCCACCCTTGTTCCGAAAGGAGTACAATTTTTCATACCTTATATAAAAAATACCCATTCACATTATATAACAAAACAAATATATTTTTATTTTCTCGTAGTTTGCACTTTTAGTATTTTAATCAAAATTAATATTATCACTCCGACAGAATTTTTAATAAAAATATATTTTATGCATATCATATACAATAAGAAGCAATATTTGGTTTTAGTCAGGTAGAATAAAAAGAAAATTAAATGATGTCACGAAATATAAGTATATATTTTTATTTTTATTTTATTTAAATGATATAATGAGAGAAAATGTATTGATTATTTTCTATTTTGTAATATTGCTGAGGTACTTAGAAATAAAAAATATTGTAAAATTTGTAGAACAAACAAATTATTATTTTCTCTCAATTTCAAACCGTAACTAATCATAACGCCAATTGAATCAAATGGTGAATAAAAGAACTTTATTTTTCTGCCTAACTCAAAAGATTTGTATTTGTATGTATTTACAGCTGAGAAACACAAAAAATGGTCCTCGAGAAAAAATAAAAAATAAAAAATAAAAATGGTTCTGACTATTCTCTGTGCTGATCAAGATTGACTGTAATATTTGTTCCGTCACCTGACGGTGACCCATTCATCCGACACAGACCACTTAGGACCATCGGAGCCGCTGACTATCCCAAGCCGTCGCCCCGCCGCCGCGCTGGACCACGACCCGTTTTGCGAGCTTGATTCCGAGGAATATTCCGGCGAGGGCAAAGATGTAATTGACGACGCCCAGTCTGGAAAATTAAATACACATCTCGGAGACGTTGACGCCGTCGCCGCTTCTCCGTCAGCTAAATCCTGACCGCTGATAAAGGGATGATCCAAAAGCATCTCAGCCGTCCATCTTTTACTAGGATCTTTCACAAAGCATTTCGTTAAGAAATCCTGACCGTCCGCCGATAGATCGTCGGGAATCTCCGGCAGCTCATCTCCGGCGCCGATCCTCAACAACAACCCGGCCAAATCGGCGCACCGCCACGCCGGAGCTCCAGCGATCATCTCCGCCACCGCGCATCCGACGGCCCAAATGTCCGCCGCCGCACCCACCTCCCCGCCGGCGACCATCTCCGGCGACATGTACATAGGCGTCCCCCTCAAAACGTCGCCGTTTCGAGCGCCTAACCTCTTCGCCAATCCGAAATCAGCAATCTTTACGACGCCGTTTTGGCCCTGGAGAAGAATATTCTGAAGCTTAATATCGCAGTGAACAATTCCCGCTTTATGAATATAATCAAGCCCTCTGATCACGCCCTTCGTGTACCGCCGGACATCAAATTCCGGCAGCCTCCGGTCACCGGAATTCCTAACCCTCGCCGCCAAATCGCCGCCGGCGGCGTACTCTAGCAACACATTGTACAATTTCTCGCCATTCTCGTACGAAACACTTTCTCCAAAGCAACCGACAACGTTCGGACAATCTCGGAGCTCATCCAAAATCAATTTCTCCTCCATCAGCGCCGCCGACTTCGCAAACCCACAGCTCTTCACCGCCATCACCGGCGGCAGCCCCTGAGCGCCGCCGCCTCTCGGCGCCGCCAAATCGACGGTGGCGAAACTCCCCTGCCCTACCCTGACGCCGCGAACCCAGTCCATGTATATCCGAATTCCCAAATTTGTGGAATCTAAGAAATTGAAATTGAAGATAATTATTCAGACTAGAGATGGATAATTTCGGGGAAGTGTATTTATAGCCGTTGTCGATGGGGATGAGGAGGTAATGTAAAAAAGCACGTGTTTATCAAGCTCGGGGATTTCCACGAAACCTCAAATGCGCAGTCCTGCTTGAAAAAACGTGGGACAATTAGACTTAGCCGACAAATAATTAACCTCAACAACAACAAACTATAGAATAAAATAATAATAATAATAATAATAATAAAATAATAATAATATTCCTTCTAACTAAGATGCAATTAGGCAGTCACTGTAATAACTAAAAGAAAATCACATATTTTAATGTCGTCGTCGGCGTCGTCTTTGGTTGGCATCTCTTCACCTGCCCACTCCCACATCCACTCTAAGTTCAATGGCTCGGATATAGTAATTTTAAAATTAAATATATATTTTTGTAAGATTTAAAATTTCAAAACTTCTATATAACTAAACCGAGTTTTAGTCATTTTGTTTTAAACAATTATTCCAAGATCAAGGGTTTGTTTGATTTTGACTCAAAATGAATACTATTCAACTCTTTTTAATAAATATTTTTAAAAAATATTATTTAAACATAAGTTAATACATGAAAATCAAACAGAGTTATGAACAGTAATAATAAGTTCCGAGTTGAAATTGGATAGGGAATTGACCATTGAGAAAAGGATATATATGTATGTGTGTTAGGTTTATTGGACACGATGAGATCATTGGGAAGAATAGTTCAAGTCCAACAAGTCTTCTTCTGATTGACTTGGAAGGAATCATATGTATACATACAGAGGATAGTTATTACTATTAGGACATTATTAAACATATTTCAAGAATTATCCAGGATCCAATGAATTTGGATTTCAGAATATATATTATGCTCGTACTTATCAACTCCTACTGTTTTTCCAAATCCATTAATATATATGTATATTAACCTTTTTAATTTCAAATTTAGTTTGACAAGTTGGGATCTCTATATATCCTTTTTTACCCACTATCGAATAATAATAATACTAAATGGTTGCTAATTCGGTTGTAAATATCCTAAACTCCATAAAGGGAAACACGACACGACACGACAAATAATTCTTAGAGGTATTAAGCATAGAATATCAAGAAAAGCATATAATTCTTTCTAATACACTCTCATTAGCCATTATTAGAAGATGATTAGGAACTTACTTAGAGGTATTAAGCATAGAATATCCACACAAAAGAAATAGACATACGTACTTTGAAATCATGCGCTCACAAATAACATTTTTTATAAATATATCTTATTAGCTTAAATAAATGATAGTATGTGAATTATTGTCGTATATTATTAATTAATAATTATGTTTGTATTGTGTGAGATATATATTGTATTTCATATAATTATATAATGTGTTATGTTAATTGTTACTTTCAAATATTTTTGAGCTTTCGAAAGTGATTGAAAATCCAATTCGAAGGAATGGATAGACCGGTCCGAATAGCTCTAATTTAGCCTAAGGTGAGGCATGGATAAGGGTAAACTACTTTGGACGATGGAAGTGATGGAGAAGTGAGTAAAAGAATTTTCCTAAAAAGTAAGAAAATAGAGAAAATTGTAGAACAAAAAGGAGGAAAGTGAAAAGATTATGGACAAGACTCATCAAATATTTATTTAAAGGGGTACCAAGATTTTATAAAGAATGATCTATCCAAGACAATACACACGATCCAACTCTTTTTTCTATTTTGCTTTATTGTTTGTTTTTCTTATTTGTTGTTCATAAATTCATGTTATTTTTTCAATTAGCCGTTATATAATAGCAAATATGATTCATATTTGTTTATACTATTTTGTTCTAATTTTTTCAATTCAGTAGTTTAATTTTCTGTATAATTACAATCATTTAATTTTTGTTGCGAGACAAAACCTACATATTTTTTTGAGTAGGCTGGAGAACTCAATTCACGCCAATTTTGATAGACCCAAATCTAGTAGGTCGCGTCGACGAAAGTTTCAGCGATAATAAATTGACACATCCAGCAAGACTCGGACTATTCTCGCATCTTTTATGCAACTTAGAAATTGTAAGTTAGCGTCACCAGATACCAGTACAATGTTGAAAGACAACAAGATCGCCGGTGAAACTTTAGCACCATGCAATTTCGGAGAGATAATGTATGATTAATCCTCTGCGATTTCGGGAGGGGTGGAAAGGATGGTAACCATTTCTACCAGTGTTTTACAGAACCAAATTCGGAAAAAGATCCAAATGGCTCTTCACGAGTCAGCACTAGAACTTTCTCGGTACGTTACGAATGTCTTAAAAGTCTACCATCCGCGAAGAATTTTCATAGATGAGGAACAAGAAAACGTGCAAGGGCAAGATATCAGCGGCCAACCCAAAAAACATTGGACATACTAGCCAAAGAAGACAACGCAGGGAGGGCATAGCCGGACCACTTTTAGCATCACTTCAGTATGACAACGTGACCATACTAGTCAAAGGAAATGGAGGTAGGAGTTTTTTGGACAAAGCTAAGGGTGAAGAACCTGGGCGGTTTTCGGGACAAGCTATTTTAGGGCCGTTAGCATATCAAGGACATCCGAAAAGCCGCGGATGTGCACTACTTACGTCCTAATAGTATACCAACCCTCTATTCGGTGGAATGGGCGCCCCTACATTGGCAACGGATGTAAACGCTCAAGGAAACATCCCGGCCGGACTAGGAGCCACTGACCCTTGGGGGTATGCCCGACGATGGCCTCGATACCTCCATTCACTCTATCGACCCCTAGAGCTGCTTGGGGGGCGTTATCTCCACCTCTGAACACATCATAGGGGCAGCCCTACGCTCCTACCACCTCTGGGCCTATAGGGTGCTACTCCGTCAGTAGTAGCGGATGCGTGAGAATCTAGTCTACCAGCTCCAGCGGTGCTGTGTCCGCCGGGGGGCAGATAGCACAAAAGGTGACTTTTCCCGAGGCATCCAGACAACCCCATGGATATGGATCTCCGCACCAGGGGGCTCCGATTCAATTTGAGAACTTTTTTCCCTTCACGGATAATATTGGAAAGAGTGCCCGCCGAGGAGAATCGAGCTCGCCCACCTTCTCCAGCATACTTTCCACAGGGACATCAACAATTTCTCTCGTGCGTTTCGACTTTCGACAGGTCCGGGGCAGCCCGGAGGACACGCCGAGGCTGATCCTCCAATGCGAGCAATAATCAACCCGCAAGCGATCGAGGAGGAATTTTGGAGATTGTTCAGCGATCTTATCTGGTTGGCCGTCAAGCTGCATTATCAGCAGCTTTTTTTGGATCAGATTGCTATCGACCACCCTCTTTCCCGGAATGTTTAGATTCCGAAGTTCACACTATTTTCAGAGGAAAATACACGCTCCACCATCGAACACTTGAGCTGGGTCACGGTGCAATATGAAAGGGAATTCGGGAATGAGTGGTTCAACCTCTAACTATTTTTTTCGTTGTCCCTCACCGGGATGAAATTCACATGGTATGCATCTTCGTTGCCAACTTCATTCCACACATGGACGAACCACGAGAGAGCGTTCCATAAGCACTTTTATAGTCCATTGCCGGAGGTAACAACATCTATCTTCGGAAAAAATACGACAAATTAGTGGAGCATTTTCAGGAAATATTTCGCAGGACGGAGGAACAATGTCAGGTCCGTATCTCCGAAAACCAAGTGGTCGATGTAGCCATAAACAATATAGCACACTAGCTTTCAAGGAAGCTGGCCTTCAAGAATACAACGACCTCCTTGAGCTTACCGAGAAAGTAGCGAAGGCGAAAAAACTCCTCCAAGACGTCTATGCTGCTAGAAATCAGAAGTTTGAAAATGAAGCACACCTTGTCCAAGTCCATGAGGAGGAGCCGGACTGCTCGGACAAGTTGGAGGAGACCTTTTCAGTCGAGATCTCACAAGGGAAAACGTATACTTGCTCGACATTGCAAATACCTAGAAGGATAAAAGAAAATCCTAAGGTACAATATATGTTTGATATTTCTAAGAATGAACATATTTTTTATTTTTTGTTAAAGGAAAATCAACTCCGATTCAAAGAAGGCCATAAGATGCCATCAAACGAAAAATTGAATAGAAAGTATTATTGTAAGTGGCACAACCTATACGGACATCAAGTTGGAGTTGTATAACTTTCAGAAATGCGATACAGAAAGCCATTAAGGAGGGCCTCATTCGGCTGACCAACAAGCCATAAATGAAAATTGACATTGAGCCGTTCCAGTTCCGATTAATGCCATCGGCGGGAACCAGTCAGCACCGGGAGTTGAAGGTAATCTTGGACGAGCCGCCATAAGAAGGAATGCATTCGAGTGTCTCGAGAAGTCCATCAAACCTCCATGGAGAAGCTCGATGTGGGATCATTTTTGCCCCATAATACCGTCGTCAAGGCCATCTTTGAAAAAGACGGCGATGTGTGACGAACGATTTTGGTTGATCTAGTGGGGATGATTCCTCACGCCATGTGACGACCGAAACAACCCACAAAAGACAAGATCTGGACAAAAAACCAAAAACTGAAGAATCAGCCTCTTAATAGGACTCAACAGCAGAGGCGACGTCGTCAGCTCTGGGCTACACGCTTTATCTCGAAAAAACAGGAGCAACAACATAACTAGCCCCAGAAAAGTCAAGGGTTACTATTGATTATGAAGAAGTACCAAAGATGAAGGAATTACCCCCCGGAGGAGAAGACGACGAGAATGAAGGCCAAAACAGGTTGTCTCAGAAGACAGACAATTTAGAGCAACAAACACCTCTGAAGGTACTACTAACGTCTATTTCAACCGGGATTTGAAGCGAGCGCTATATTACAAAAATGATTTTCCGGTAAATATTAGCGTCTTCTTGCAAAACAAGTTCTAGAAATTTTGACGGAATGCAATCTCGCTATTAAAGAATTCAAAATCCACATATAGACAAACACACAGTTTTTTTTCCTATTTTTTCGTGATGAATAAGGATCGAGAATGATACGGAACCTGAAGTGGTGGATTAATGAGACATATAGTGACATCGAAGGACCAAAATATGAAGTATATTTGAGAAGCAGACAAATTCTTCACATCTGCCGCCTTCCCCGGAGGATCAGAACGAAACAGAACTTTCATCGCCTATCCAGAAGGCTACCCCATTGATCGAGGCTTAGGATCCTGTCGAAGATATCAATCTTGGTGACGATTCAGCCCCTCCAATGATGCAGATCAGTTTGTTACTACTTTCAAATGATGTAGATCAGCTCATTGTTACCTCTGGAACAGAAATAACGATTACGGCTTGATTTGGGAGTACCAAGGTTGCTTTGCGTGGGATCACCACGAGATGCCTGGCTTATCTAGGAGTTTAGTGGGATATTAGTGACCTAAAAAGTCGTCGTTCAAGCTCCACAAGCAGTGCCCACGACGATCTAACTCGGAGTTGCTGTCTAAGGTAAAAAAAAAAAAAAAAGACGAATAAAGATGGATAAACCAATTTCGGGCATAAAGAGCTACCGTAATGAAAGTATCTTGTGAAGCTCGAGCCATACTGCTGAAATCTCATACAAAAATATTGGACTTAAAAGTTTGGCAAACGTTATATTTTTGTGGGGGACATTTGTTACTCCCAAATATTTTTGAGCCCCCCGGAGGTGATTGACAGCCTAATTCAGAGGAGTGGATAGTCCGGACCGAACAAACCCATTTCGGCCCAAGGTTGGGTATGGATAACGACAAGCCACTTTGTATGGTGAGTCAAAAAATTTTCCTAAAATATAGGAAAGTGGAGAAAATTGTGAAACAGAAATGGGAAAGTGAGAAGATTATGGACAAGATTCATCAAATAGCTATTAAAAGTGAGCCAAAATTTTAGAATTAATGATCTATCCAAAAAAATACTGTGACACCCCAACCTGCAAGCAACACAAAATCGGGTGGGTCGGGATCGTAGACTGACTCCATAGGTGAACACGTGTTCTTCCAACGAGCTTTTGTTCTCATTCACGCGCACCCTATGAGACTTTCCAGGGGGTCACCTATCATCAAATTACTCTACGGCAAAAACATTTAATTCTAGAGTTCTTTCAATAGGATTCCCGAAAAAAAATATGAACATTGTTGATATAAATAGTCTATTCAATCTATATATTATTATAAACTATATGATATTGCCTATTATGTAGCATTATATGTATTACTTGCATATATTTTGTGTGTTGGCATCATGTTGAAAGTGTTTTACTCACGAAAGTTGCATGCCTTGATCACTAATTTATCGTTACACCACTAGCTTATTCCTTATTGAACTTATGAATATTATATTTACTAAATTAGAAAGTTTATATAGTGATTGTAGATAATTGATCAATAACAAAAATATACGTTGATTATGGATGGATATGCTAATAAAGTCATTTGGAATTTTTAATACTATTTAACAAAATTAATTTAATTTTATTTTTTTAAAGTATCACATAAAATTTTAAATCAAATGCATGACAATTTACTATTTCTAATATTTTCTAAAATTTCAAATTTTCTATGGAATACATTTTTTCGAAATTGCCGCTTTATATATATATATATATTGACTTCCTTGGCCTCGTTTCTAACTTCTACTATCAAAAGCTTCTTTTCAATGGCATTTGGGCTAACACGGTAATCTGTAGTGAAATTAATTAATTAATTAATTAATCTTTATTTTTGTTATTATTATTTAAAATAAATTTTATAGATGTATGTGTCAAGAAAGTGTTGGGCAGCCGCAAGTTTGGGGGGATTGATAATTGATGTCCTAATTCATGGGATTTATACACACAACCATGCCACCCAATAATCTTGACACGTGTCTCCAATAACACGTGCTAATTACCTATTTTGACAAAAGTTTACATCCAAACAAGGCATTAGTGAGAGACCGTTTTAGCTAAAATTAAGAAGGGGTTTAGGGTTTATGGCCTAATGAAGCAAAAAAACCAATATAGGCGTTTATATTGCAACAAGTGTTATCCTAGTAAAATAATAAAAATAAAAATTCCTACGTATTTTAAAAGAAAAAGAGGACATGATTGATGACTGCCACGTGGCGGGTACGACAAAAAAGAATTTTCAATTTCACAAAAGAAGAAGAGAAAAATATACTTAGTAATTCGAACATATTTTTTATTTTAAAAATATTGTAGAGTGATTAAAATAGACAAATAATAATAATAATAATAAAATATTATAGGATGTTTGAGATGAAACAATATAGTCCAACGAGTAAGTTCATAAATTCAACACATATATATTATATTATACTTCCTCCAATTCAAATCAAATGAGTCATTTGGAATTTTATAATAGATTAAGAAATAATTTTATTTTATTAGTTAGTGGAAGTGCGTAAAAGTTTTTTTTTGATATTTTGTCAATTGACTTTATGTATAAAGTAATTGTACGCATCTGTAATGATATATTTGTAATTTAAGTAAAAATTAAGGGTATTATGATATTAATACATCGTAACATTTTTTAAAATAGGAAATATATACTTTGAAATAAAAAAAATAAAAAAAAAGTAAAAGTAATACTTTAAATTGAGACAAATAAAATACTACTTAACCTAAAAAGAATAAATCTTTAACATTTCTAATAGCTTTGGATAATTTGAAGTAAATTAAAATTTATTTACGGATATTAGATATCTTTTTTTAGTTTTATTTACTTACACAAGTTCATTATATTAATACTATATTTATTGGAACCATAGATTTTGGATTTGGGTCTATTTGATTGTTTGCGATTGAGTTTTATTTTTATTTTTATTTTTATTTTTATTTTTTTCGGTAAAATTATTAAAGTGACATTTGATTTATGGTTGTAGTTGTGATTGTGGTTTAGTCATGCAATTTAAAAAACTTATAGGCTTTGCCAATTTTTTGGGTGAAATTTCGTGCATTGTTGTCCTATACAATCTAGTGAAATTCTTGTCTATAAGATTTTTCAAGTGTCAATAATCCCATGAGATCGACACAAATATTATTTTCAAGTCATTGAAAAATTATAAGGCCTAGACATCCATATCAATATAGATATCTGCAGGTGCCCTTATGACGCATATAGTTAACGCACTACGCCATATGCAACAAAAGACCAAATACTATCCACATCCGGTGCATATTGTAGGCTAAGCAACGGATGGTACCCGACCTCAATGGTGTCTAGATCCCCGATGTTAAGGAATGCACGCCATTGAGGATGGATCTGATAGAAAGATACGGACAAGAAGTTTTTCTTATAATAACTACCATAAACACATACAACACATTGATATTGTAATTCACACAACAACACGTACCTTAAAATATCTTTCTGAGTGCGTTTAGAATCTGAACTTCTAACGGAGCTTTGAGAGTTTTTTATTGGTTGATTATCTAGGTTTGAAGTATCATACACCACACACTTCCCCTACAATTATAAAAAAAAAAAAAAAAAGGCACTTCAACATTATTCATAATTTTTTTTTTAAAAAAAAGAAGAAGATAATTTTATTGCAAATGAAATACCATGTACAACCACTTAACCAAGCATTGATGGACAACTATTTTTAAAAGAATAAATAAAAATAAATGAGACATTCACTTCATTAATCACAAATATTTCTTTAACTAACAATTGAAGCGACTCTACAACAAAGTGTTGAACATGATTTCATCTATTTTAACATAGTTCTAATTATACGAGACAGATCAAAATGAACACAAAATTTATCTTCTACTATAAGTATAAAGATCACAACATACCACTAAAACCCATAAAAAAATGACAACACAATTAAAAATTGCAAAAAGACCAACACTCTTGGGTTATTTATTACATATACAATCAAAGCAGATTGAATTTTTTATGAACAAATATACAAGGTATAATATCATTGAACTCGAATACTATGCAAATATCGCCTTAGAATGGAATGATACGAGTATCTATACAACAAACGTCGAATCTAACAATGGATGTAAACCTTGTGCTATGGTTAATGATACCATTTCGAGGCCAATGTGAAATGCTAACTTTAAAAAATTATATTTTAAAACTATGAATGACACAAGTATTTATTAACCTACACAACACAACAAATTTCAAAATCTAACAATGGATTTTAACCGTGAGGAATGATTAATGGCACCATTTCGAGACCGATATGAAAGGCTAACATTACAAAACCATATTTGAAAATTATAAACTAAGACAATGCAATTTTCAATTACAAGAAACCGTTATGGAAATTCCCCCCGTGACACAATCCAACACTCCTTATATCAAGAGTATGGTCGGTTTTGACTTTCGAAGGACCTAGAGTGAAAAAAAGATCTTAAATATATAAATAATATTTTTCATTTATAATAAAAATATAAATAATTAAATAAAATAATTTTTCTAATATTTTTAAATGAAAATAGTATTAAAAGAATTTTGAGACACTAACGATTTGACTAAAAACTTCATTAATGTAAATATACTCTCATACCACAAAATTACTTCATTTATATATATATATATATGTATATATCAAATAAATTTTATATATAAAAATTATACATATATAACATAAATATATAACGGACTTTCTATTTATATTGGGCCTTGGGCTGGCGCTCCTCTCGCTTGGGCCCAGGACTGGCCCTGGTCAAGAGACCATAGCTCATAAAAAATATAAGAATAACTTACCTTCTAGAGAAAAATTCTCTGCAAAAATCGGAAATATTTAAAGTAAGAACATAAAAGCATTGCCTACCAACAAGCTGGATTCCAAGCGGCGTGAGATACTTCAGGCAACATAAAATGCAAACTAGTCAAAAAAGAAGAAGATAGAACAACATATAATCGTTTGCAACTCGAACATCGAGTAAAAACAATTCCAAAACTACTATTAATAATACAGGTGCACAATTGAAAAACAACGGGCATAAATCACTTCTAGAAAAAGGATAGAAATCAACCACAAAAATTACAAAACCCGAATAGATTGCGATCTAGGTGGAAAAATTGAAAGAAATTCAATATTTACCTTACTCGTCCGGTGCTTGTTCCCACAACAAACCGCACTCTTTGGCAATAAAGGAAAGGAAAAACTTGTTCCCACAACAAACCGCACTCTTTGGCAATAAAGGAAAGAAAAAAGAAGGATTTAAGATATATGGCTTGGTTGTGAGACTTCTATGACCGACTGAGAAGATGCGAGAGATGGAAGGCTTTAGTAAAGTTAGTTGGGGACTGCGTCGAAAATAACGTGAATATAGTATAACAAAAACAAAATAAAAATACAATACCGCACAATATGAATTTATGGCCCAACCGACAACCATATACAACTTTGAGCTTTCCGAGATATTTTATAATTTTTTAGTTATTGTTATTATTATTATTATTATTATTATTATTACTCCCTTCGTCCGTCAAATTTATTCTCATTTTTTTTGTCTGTTAAGTTTATTTTATTATTATATTTAGAAAATTAAAAAAGTCAATATTTTAATTACTATCCTTCATTCAACACTTATTTACAATAAATACCACTAACTTTATTTGTTCTTCCTCTTCATTCTTTTTAATTACTAACTAAATTTTCAAAAATATTTTCAACTATCCTTTTACCTTTTTTACATTTTCAATAAAATATTTATTTTTTTTTAATCTAAGTTCCAAGCCCAAATAGACTAAATATTGTGGACGGTGGGAGTATTCCTCTGTACGACCGACTCAAAATTTTTTGATCACTTTTATATAAATAGTAAAAAATTGGAGTATTTTATATAATATTTCGTAACATAAAATAGGTATTTAATATGATGATATGCAATAGAAAATAAATACTTAATGTGAAGTTTTTTTTTTTTAAGAAAATATTACTATTGATGAATAGTATAAAAAATTTCAAAAATATTTATTGTGTTTTTATTCCTATATTAAGGGGGGTCTTTGAAACAATATCAAGTAAATACAGAATTATACGAGTTATGTTACAAAATTAAAACCAAATAATCGACGACATTATAGACCATAATTGAAACTGAAATATAAACTAAGGATATAAACATATTCTAAAAGTAAGAATGAGGACCAAACAAGGCCTTTAATGAACATCTCCGATAGCGGCTTGGTGACATACAACAAACTCATCCAATATCATCTTCTCCGGTGGTGCAACAACATTTGGATCGCTCAAACATAGACTCCAACAACGATTCATTTTCCGATGGAAAACAACTCCAAAACAGTGTTGATCTTCTCCATTATTGAACAAAACAAACAGGAAATGGAAGGTAGTATCAACTCAGACCCAAGATATATATGACCCCATGGTAATCACTCACGCCCTCAAGGTAAAGCTCGGGTGACACTCTAAGCCTCAACACTCACCATAAAACTTTCATAAAAAGGGGCCTCAAATCCTTGCTAAGAACTCTCTTAAAAAACTCAATGGTCGCCAAAGCACGTCGAAAAACTTATGGGAATGCCATGGGGCTGCCCCTCTCTCTTACTTTTCTTCTTTTCTCTCTCAACACTCGTAAACTAACAACCAAAATAACCAAGGGCGAATCCAATATTAGGCAAGGTGGGTTAATTGACCCCACGAAAAAAAAAAAATTAAAATAATACTAATTATCACTAAATTACAAATATATTTTTAAATATTAATTTTATTTTTATTTCATGAATAAGTTTCGGTATTTGACAAGACCCACCAAAAGAATTATTGATGTCGTACTTTTTTTCCCTCCAATCGACTTTCCTCTTTTAATAAAAAGATATTGTAACTACTTGCATAATTATATTCTACAGAATTGTCAGAAGCAAAATTGATGAATTTCGAATTATTATTAGGTAATTTCATTATTGATATTTAATGTGATGAATTATTTTGGGATTTAAAGAATTTAAATGAACTATCTATGAAACTTGTTGAGAAAAAGAAAAATAGCAACTACAAACGGTAAAAATATCATTTTCAACTATAATTATCATAAAAAAAAATTACGGAATAACATGAAAGAGTAATTAGTAAATGATTATTTAATTACTTTTCTAGAAATACACGTGTTTACGAAAGTTAGTATAGATGTTCTTGTTAGCCTATACCAAAATATAAGATCTCGTCGTGAACACTTGTAACTATTTTGATGTACAAGTGATTGTTAATTTTAAATTTCGTATTTTTCTAATGTAAATTTCTGTTGATACATTTATTTATTTTAATTTTAATTTAATTATATTAATTTATCGACCGATCAAATTCAAAATCCTAGATCAACCATATACAATTATAAAAAGTGATAATTTTAAATTTGAGCATATTTATTTCTTCTTCGGCGGCGGTGGCGGGAGCGGTGGCAGTGGCAGTGGCAGTGGCGGCGGAGCGGCCTTCTCCTCCTCCTCCTTCTCCACAGCAGTAGCGGTGGCTGTGGCAACAGAGCAGTGGTGGCATCAAGTTCCATGTACTCATCCAAAAAAAAAACTAACATAAAATATAAAATATACAAAAATGATAATGTTGACACAATATGTGACACGAAAGGAGTATATCTTTAGCTGTCAAGTTTCATGAACTCAACATACTAGTATGTTCTTTCATTTCAATCATGGAACAAAATAAATGAAATCAAACCAAAAACTAAATAAACCATCAACTTATTTTCTCTCACTCATCCAATAGAAAAAAATAAAAATCAATAACCCTAATAAAATTAAACTACAAAAATAATATTGATCTCATGATCACTAGATCTTGGTCGCGGTCGTGGTCATGGTCGTCTTCTCTCAGTACCTATAGTGAGGCGGCTTGTACGGGCCCTCGACGGGAACGCTTATATAGTCGGCTTGGTCCTTCGTAAGCTTGGTGAGCTTCGCGCCGAGCTTACCTAAGTGAAGCGCCGCGACTTTCTCGTCGAGGTGCTTCGGCAAGACGTACACTTTCTTTTCGTACTTTCCGCTCTTGCGCTCGTTCCACAATTCTAACTGCGCAATCACTTGATTCGTGAACGAGCACGACATCACAAAGCTCGGGTGCCCCGTAGCGCAACCTAAATTCATCAACCGGCCCTCGGCGAGGACAATGACACCCGAATTGGTGTCCGGGAAAATGAACCTATCCGTTTGCGGCTTGATGTTCACGCGCTTTATGCCCTTGAAGGTCTCCAGCCCGTGCATGTCGATCTCGTTGTCAAAGTGTCCGATGTTGCACACGATCGCGTTGTTCTTCATCTTCCGCATGTGGTCGACCATGATTATGTCCTTGTTGCCCGTGGTCGTGACGAAGATGTCGGCCTCGGACACAACGTCGTCGAGAGTTAGTATTTGGAAGCCCTCCATTAGCGCCTGGAGGGCGCAGATTGGATCGATCTCTGTCACGATTACGCGCGAACCGGCTTGTTTTAATGCCAATGCGCAGCCCTTCCCGACATCTCCGTAGCCGCACACCACACTCACCTTCCCGGCGATCATTACGTCGGTGGCGCGCATTAGGCCGTCCGGTAAGGAGTGACGGCAGCCGTACAAGTTATCGAACTACCATAGAAACCCGATTAAAAGTGCACTTTATAAATAGTAAAAAGTTCAATAAAAAATAAGTACTATAACTAGTAAAGAGTTAATACAAGGGTTAGCATGGGTAGATTATTTATAAATACACAGATATTTGTCATTCGAACAAATAAATATCTGAAATATTTGAACTATTTTTTTTTGTTAATAAAAAATATTTAAAATATTTGCAAATAATTTAAATTGAATTGAATTTTTTTAAAAAAAAAACAAAAACAAAAACAAAAACTATATGACTTTTTATTTAGTGAGATTGTTTGAAGAAAGAGTCAGAAGAACAAACTCTATATAAAATATTTTATAGAAAAAAAAAAGTATATTTACAAATATTTCAAATCGAATAGAACTATATTACAATTACATTTATATTTAATTGTGTAATTATATTCATATAAAAATTTCTTTATAAAATATATATTATTAACATAAATTTTTAAATACAATAATATAAAAAAATTGATTTGTATTTGAATTGAATTTTCTCGATTAATTTACAATTAGAATATTTTGTAAATGAATGTCCGTACGTACCTTGCTCTTGGTGACGGAATCGTTGACGTTAATGGCGGGGAAGAGAAGGGTGCCGTTGGTCTGCATCTGGTAGAGGCGTTTGACGCCGGTGGTCGTCTCCTCCGACACTCCGACAAGCCTCTCCTTCATTTTCGTGTATCGTTTGGGGTCAACCTTCAGTCCGTCTCTGATCAGCGTAAGAACGATCTGAAACTCCGCGTTCTCGGCGGAGTTGGGGTCCGGGAGCTTCCCGGACTTAGCGAACTCCTCCTCCGCCTTGACGCCCTCGTGGATGAGGAGAGTGGTGTCGCCGCCGTCGTCGACGACGAGGTCGGGACCGCCGTCGGGACCCCAGTCGAGGGCCCGCTCGGTGCACCACCAGTACTCCTGGAGGGTCTCGCCCTTCCAGGCGAAGACGGCGGCGCTGTCGCGGGCGATGGCGGCGGCGGCGTGGTCCTGGGTGGAGAAGATGTTGCAGGAGCACCAGCGGACGTCGGCGCCGAGGGCGGTTAGGGTTTCGATGAGGACGGCGGTCTGGATGGTCATGTGGAGGCTGCCGGTGATCCTGGACCCCTGGAAGGGTTTGGAGGGCCCGAATTCGGAGCGGGAGGACATGAGACCTGGCATTTCGACCTCGGCAAGGTCGATTTCGAGGCGGCCGAAGTCGGCCTGGGACATGTCCTTGACCTTGTACTCCCGACCGGAGTTCGTCTTCTCCACCAGAAGCGACATTGTCTGATCGATTGATTGATTAATTAATTAAGTGAAGAAGGAATTGGATGCTGTAATGAGTGGTTCGTGTAAAGGGGGAGAGGGGTTTTTAAAACGGTAAAAAAGTGGACTGTTAGAGATTGGGGCGGATCTGGATCTTGGATTTTGGGGATTTTGAGGTTCTCCTTTCGGGGAGTGAGCTTGTTTGTAGTGATGACCCACGACACTTCTCTATTGCCATCAATTTCTGGATCTGCACTTAACCATGGTAAAATACTAATTAAAAATATTTTGTATTTTATTTTTAAAATATTTAGTTGCATTCTTTATATATTTTTTTAAGAAAATTTATTATTAATTATTAAAAATTATAAAAGTTTTATTAAAACTATTTGTTTTTATATTTAAAGAAAATTATAAATACTCTATTTGTTTGCATGGTCATATTTATTTTTGCGTCATTATATTTGACATTAAAAATATTTATAATTTTTTGTACAAATGTCCTTCTATTAATATTATAAGACACTGATTGAAGTATTTTTATAATTTTTTCTTAATTTGTACTACATTTTAATATAATAATTAATATTCAAATATCAATACTTAAAATATAAATGAGACTCTTGAAGTTGGATGGAGATAGTACTGTATATTTTATTGAAAATGTGAGCTTTTTTTTCATTAGGAATAGTATAAAATGTAAAAGAACAATTATTTGTATATATTTTTTTATTAGGTTGATTTTTAATTAATTAATTTTTTTATTAAAATTATAATTTTAAATATTTTTATTTTAATATATTCATTTTTTTAAAAAAATTATATGTAATAAAAATATATAGAGTAATATTTTTATTTTGTCTTTATTTTAACAAACTAAAAAAATTTACAAAAAAAATAATATACATAAAAAAAAAAAATTTCAATTACTTTAAACTTATAAAAGTAAATATATAAGTTATTAAAAAACTATATTAAATCAATTTATAAATAATGCAATAAAAATGTGGCCTCATTTAGAATGCCCATATCAGCAAACTAACCTAGGTAATTAGCAATTTATTACACAATAAATAGTATTTCCTCCGTCCTAGATATTATGTCCACGTTGCTGTTTCTGCTCGTCCCATATACTATGTCACTTTCCTTTTTTGGAAAATGATTACACACTTTAATCTCATTTTAAATTTTTTTATTTTTTTTAATTTTAATTAAACTTTTAGTTATCTTAATCTTAATTTATAATTATTTATATTATAGGATAATTATTTTCACTGATACATTCTTAATTATCTACTAATTACACCTCTCCTAAAATACCGTGTTTACAGTGTAGCACGGTATCTGAGACGGAGGGAGTAGATTACTAAGTTAGCACGTTATAATCATTATATATTTTGTTATATATAATTATATTATATGTTATTCAAATATATGTTATATTAATATTTGTTATTTTCTTAATAGATATTTGTTAATTGGTGCTGATTTAACTCAATTAGTACAGTAGTTAGTACAATAAAAAATATATTAGTATGTATTAAACTTATAGTATATAATTGCTAGGACCAAAAAGAAAATTAAAAAATAAAAATCAGTGCAATAAAAAATATATTAGTATATATTAAATTTATATATAATTGCTAGGACCAAAAAGAAAAAAAAAATACTATTCTAAAATGCTGGAATATTAATCATTTTAAAATTAGTTTTTTAAAACTAATAAAATATTTCTAATTTTAAAACCAATAAAATATTTCAAAAAATTAATATATGAAGCAATTAAATTAGTACTTTGACTAGTCATACAACTAAAACCTCTTCCAAACAAAAAATTAAAAAAAATTGTCTGAAAAATTGTTTTCTCTAAAAATAACTGACTTAATAAAATTTTTTTCAAATCCCACTAATAAGTAACGTTTAATTATTTAAAAAATATGTACATATAAATAAATATTACTCCTTTCATCCCGTGTCAACTGTTGTCGTTGACACGATAATTTAAGTAAAGTATAATTAGTAATTAAGAAATGTATAAGTAAAAATAATTATAACTTAATATTTTAAATAAGATTTAAAAATAATAAAAATATATAAAATTTATAATACAATTAAAGTGTATAATCATCTTTTAAAAAAATAATAAATTATATACAACTGATAAAATAGAAAAAATTGACACTATCCTACAAGAAAAAGTACTAAAGTATGTTTCTTTATCAAAGCTTTTTCAAATTTTACTATTTTGATTCTGCATTTTTTTGAAAAGAAATATTTTTTTTTTTGTCTTAAAAAATATTTATTCATAAAACATCACATCAAATATTATTTTGATACTAAACTCAAATCAAATTTTTTTTCGAACACGTAAAAAAGAAAGACACCCTAAATTTTTCAAATTTGAAACCCACGTTTTTGGCTTGGTCAGATTGGACTTACTTTCCAATGACCGAATTGCAGAAGAAAATTCAACTATCACCTCCCCAGAAATTTCCCCACCCATATTTTTCACGATTTTCAAATTTGAAGGGTGTGTTTGTTTGGAGGTTTGGATTTTGAGTTGGGATTTAAATAGTAAAAATTTTGAATTTAAATAGTTGTATGATGTGATATAAATAGGTGTTGATGTAATGTTTCGAATGTAAAATTAATTTTTAGTATAATATAAAAAATAAAAAATATGTGTTTGATTTGATGTTTTTAGAGAAAAAAATTGGATTAGTAAAAAAAATCCAATCCCTCGAACAAACACACTTTAATTTTACCTTTTTCCAAAGTAAATAAATAAATAAATTAATATTATTCCTGCATGCATAACGACAAGTCATCCTTAAATAAAATAAATATTTTTCACATTCCTTTTCCAGGTCTATAAAACCCCTTCAATGATCTGCCTTTTCGTCGCCAAAAAAATTTCTAAGTAATCAAAATGGCTTCTTCTGGTAATTCTTGTAATAAATCTTTTTGCAGTGATTATTTTCTGGTGAAGCCTGAAGAAGCAGGGTGGGTGGATATTCTGAGGTTGTTGTTTTGGAGTGATGTCGGAAGAAGAAAGTTTGTCGAAAGTCCGGCGGCGGCTCAGCCGCGGCGGGAGCCGTTGAGCCGCCGGTGGCTCGTCTTCGTGTCGGTGGTTGCCATGAAGCTCTTGCACGCCATCGCCGGACCCCTGTCGGGATTCGGCTCCGCCGTCGAGTTTTGGCTGAATTTGCTGTCCCTAAATGGGGGTTTCTTTACACTAATCCTTAATTTCTTCAGAGGTAAATTAATTGTGTAAGGGAAAGAAATTTTAAAATTAGTTTTAAAGCTATTTATGTAAAATATATATATATATAATTTTTAATATGACATTAAATATATAAGTGTGTATTTCTTTTATCACTCAAATCTCAAATTTCTACTATTTGAATTATATATTTTTCAAAAAAAAATAATTTTTTTCGTAAAACATCTCATTATGCATTATTTTAATATTAAACTAAAACCAAAATTTTTCAAAACCTATATCAAAAAAAACATCCCTAAATTTTCGTAGAATATTACGTGAAATATAATATTTTAAAAATTTTTTAACACTATAAAAAAATATATCTAAACAATAGCTCGTCCCTTATGAGATCGGTTTAGGTTATGGGATAGAGTATGAACATGTTTCTTTTGTCAAATTTTCTCAAATTTTATTACTTATATTCAGTATTTTCAAAAAAATATAAATGTGTTTACTTGTTAGGTTTTACATCTGATTTTACTATTTCAAACTTTTTTCTCTCCAAAAATATCAAATCAAACATCCAATTTTTATTTATTTGATTACACTAAAATCTAATTTTACATTCAAAACATCACATTAACGTATATTTATATCACATCAAACAACTATTTCAATTCAAAATTTTACTATTCAAAATCAAAACTCAAAACTAAAATCTCACAAGTAAACACACCCATAATAGTGTTTTTTTCTCATAAAAGATTTGACAAAATATTATTTTAATACTAAATTCAAACTAAATTTATGGAAACTCATCTAAAAAAACACGCATAAAGTCGATAGATCTCCATCCCATAAAAGTTAAAGAATGGGAAGTCATCATATTTCTCTTTAAATTTTTTTCAATTTTTTGTTTATTATACAATCTTGTTATTTTAATACAATATAATAATTTTTTACAAAAAAAATATCAAATGTAACCATTATGTATTAAATATTAATATTTTTAAAAAGACTGAAACTATCTTTCGCTTTAAAGAACATACTTTTTTGGAGTTCTCCAACTAAGCTAAAGTTGTCAATCCTAACTGGCTCAAGCTAGTACCCGGACTAAGAAGGATCGCCTTTATAGCTCTAAAATAGAATAATTATTGAAAATAATATTTGTATGAAAAATGAAGTGACTGATTTTAAAAATAATAATAATAAAATTATATATATATATATATAAGACTAAGAAAAGTCTTCCATGTCCATAATTATTTAACATGCCTTACTAGTGAATAATTACTTTTTTGAATTATTTCATTTATATTGCTTTACACCTCACGGCTTATTATTTACGTATACACGCACTGTCCTCCAATATATATTGAATCATCTCAACCACTCTCCTCATGACCATTTACGTCACAAAAATCAATTATTTATTGGGTAAACTGTTTTTTTAAGTCTTCTAACTGGACCCCTTTATCATTTTAGTTTCGCAAGTGGAGTCTGTCGCAAACTAGTTTCATAAGTGAAAATTTTTTGCTGTTTTAGTCCTCTGACGCCGGAGATGCCTGCGTGGCTCGCCGGAGGTGACGTGTCCGCCAGGTGTCGCTAAGCTGGCGGATACGTGGATTTTTTTATTATTTTTTATTATTTTAAATTTTTCTAAAACGTATTTATAATTTATTTTTAATTTTATTTGTATTTTTTTATTTGATCTAATTAAAAAAAATTAAAAAAATAAATAAATCCATGTGTCCGCCAGGTGTCGCTGACCTGGCGGGACACCTGGCGGAAACGTCACCTCCGGCGAGCCACGCGAGCGTCTCCGGCACCGGAGGACTAAAACAACAAAAATTTTTCACTTATGGGACTAGTTTGCGACAGGTTCCACTTATAGGATTAAAATGATAAAAGGTGTTTAATTACGGGACTAAAAAAATAGTTTATCCTTATTTATTTATCATTTTCAACTATATATATATATTATAAAAAATAATCCTTAATGAGGGCCTTTTTTTAGGGTTTTGGCTGTATAGCAATATTAATTGTTATGGTTGAATTGATATATCATGTTAATGTTTTTTAATTAAATTAAAAGGCGGCCCTTATCTTTGTTGAATTGAAAAAATCAGCACCATAATAATAATATATAGTAAAAGGTCAGTCATCATACGGTTTAAATACAAATAATACGTAAAATGTTAAATAGAAGTGCGTAATTATGTTATAGGAATGTACTACTTTTGTCGAATTTAAGTATAAATTGTTTTGTTTTTTGCTATGATGGTTTATGTATTTAATTTTTATTTATGTTAACACATGAACATTATCGTATATAATAGAAAAAAAAAAATATATATATATATATATATTAAAAACAATACAGTTTTATAGTTGAATTTATGAGCACAAATAGTGTATTCATACAGCACAATTATTTGCTTTTATTAACATAATATGTGTTTTAAACTTGTATTGTTTTTTTGCTGAATATGGAGCCCAAAGGGTGTCTAATTATTTTAGTGTCTGTTTTATTTTAAATAGTACTAGTAAAAAAATTTAAATCTAAGCAATGGGCTATCCTTATGAATTTAATAAAAATATTATTTTTAAAAAATATTCAAATATATATATATATAGTTTAAACACCCTAAATATTCAAACATATTTGAAAACAATAATGTTAGTGGTTTGTAATTTCTTTATTGAAATTTTAATTTATAATACTCCCTCCATAACAAAAGTATAAATTTTTTTATTTTACTCCGTCTCATAACAAAATATCTATTTCTTTTTTGAGTAACTGTATTGTCTACTTAACATTATAAATACCCTTATAACTTACAATATATTACACAATTACCATTACCTTTATATCACACATACTAATAAGGTTATTTTAGTCATTTCTCCTTTATTCCTACTTACATCCCAATATAATACTAATATTTTTAAAATTACGTGCAAAAAATAAATAAATTTTTAATTATGGAACGGAGGGAGTATAACTTTAAAATTCTTATATATTACTCCCTCCATCCACTTATAATGTTTACATTTGCTTTTGGCGCGGTGTTTAAGAAATAATAATATTTTAATTATAGTGAGTAGTTAAAAGTAGTGTAATGACATTTTTGCCCTTACTTTTTTATGTAAAAATAATGATGTGATGTAAAGTAAGGGTATTTGTGGAAAAAAGTAGGTATTTAATGAAATGTTAACTTTGTAATTGAACATCCCAAAATAAAAATATGTAAATATTGTAAGTGGACGGACAAAATATATCTTTTTAAAAAAATTGTGCTCCCACAAACAAATTTTTATGGCTTCCCTCTTGTAAATCTCATAATACACAAGCTTGTGTTGCTTTTTATATTTCAAATGTACTACCTCTGTCCATCTCTAAAAATTACATTTATCTTTTGCGTTATTCTACTTAATATTAAAATATAATTATATTTATATAGTTTTTCATACAAATATCATTATATAGTTTTATAAAATACTGATACAAGTATTTTTGTCATTTTTCTTTAATTTGTATTATATTTTAATATAACAATTAATATTTAAAAATCAACGTATAAAGACTAAATATGATCCTTAGAATCGGTCGTAAAAAATAGTATCATATAGTGCTTACTATTTCTCTAATTGAATAATGGGGGAGTGGTACATTGTGCAGGGAAGGTTGTACAGCCAGATCGGGCATCAGCAAGTTTCGTGTCGTTTATAGGAAATATGGACAAGAGATTGGACTTAGAGAAGAGCAGATTATTCGGACATGGAGAAGGCGATAAAGCCTACTTTGCCTATTTGTCCATCATGGCAGCTAAGCTCTCCTACGAGAATCACAATTTCATTCGGACAACCGTAAATGACGTCTGGAACGTATGTATCCATTTATTTATTTAACGCATGTTTATCACGTGGGATTATATTAATTATATTGCTGATAATTAATTCTACATATAGTTATCCATTAAGGATACTTTAATTAGCCAATTAAGTATCCGACACCAATAATCCATTTATGGCCATAATTATTAATATTCCTTGATTAATTTATTACACCAATATTTTAATTCATATTCATTATTATATATATATATATTATTGAATTTTTAAATATTGCTTTTCTTTTTTTTTTCTTTTTTTGGCTATGTTCATATTGTCGGTGCTTATTTATTTATCTAATTTTGGTTTTGCTGTTGAATAATAACATCTTAATTGATCGTAGATTGAATTATAATTTAATATATATTTTATTAAAATATTTTTTAAACGTTTTAAAAACTGTTATTTAGAAAACTATTAAATGTTATTTTTACAGAATTAAATCTTGTGGAGTATTATATATTTATATATAATTAAATATAAATTAATAAAAGATTTTTAAAAAAAAAAATTAAAGAGATACCAGGTTCGTTTGTTTAGTTTTTTAAATTAGAAAAATTGTATCCTTAATATTAAAAAATAATATTTTCTGTTAAATATTAATTTTTTCTAAAACAAAATACTTTAGATATATATATATATGTATATTATGTCAGAACTTTTGATTGGCAAATGAACATGATTTCTACAAAATAAAATCTTATATTTATACAAATTAACATAAATTAGTTTATAAAAAACTAACAAAAACAAAATCAACCATATTTATTTATTCAAAATAGATAAAAATAGAAGATTGCAAATAGATACCACCTTAAAAAATCAGAAAAAAATAATAATAATAATTTAAATGGAAAAAAAAATGAAATATTTGATACCATCACGATTGTAATGAAAGTTACCGATTATGATATTTCAGATGAAGCTTATAGGATCATACGACTTCTGGAACGATTACCAGCAAAAATCCACAACACAAGCCTTCATATTCCACGACAACCTCGGCACCGTCGTCGTAGCTTTCCGGGGAACGGAAACCTTCAACTCCGACGACTGGTCCACCGACGTCGACATCTCCTGGTACGAGGTCCCGGGACTCGGCAGGATCCACGCCGGCTTCATGAAGGCCCTCGGCCTGCAGAGGAACCACGGCTGGCCGCGCCGCCAAGCCGCCGCCAAGCCGGAGACGGCTTACTACGCCGTCCGGGATCTTCTGAAAGACCTCCTGCAGAAGAACGACAAGGCCCGGCTCGTCGTCACCGGCCACAGCCTCGGCGGCGCGCTGGCGGCGCTGTTCCCGGCGGTCCTGGCGCTGCACGAGGAGGCGGCGGTGCTGGAGAGGCTGGAAGGTGTGTACACGTACGGGCAGCCGCGCGTGGGCGACGGCGCGTTCGGAGAATTCATGGAAGGCGTCATGACGACGTACGGATTCCGTCACTACAGATTTGTTTACAGCTTCGATTTGGTTCCCAGGTTGCCGTACGACGATTCTTTGATGATGTTTAAACATTTCGGCACGTGCGTTTATTACAACAGCTTCTATCAGGGCAAGGTAACTCTTAACTTCCTTTCTAACCAATAAATTACAGCAATATTTTTTTAAAACTTATCATTATTTATTCACAGTAATCTTTGTTTAAAAAATAATACTACTTCTGTTCCGTAAAAAGAGTAACATTTATTTTTTGCACTTAAATTTTTAAATATTAATATTATATTAGTTTACAGTGAAAATGACAAAAATGTCATATTAGATTGTGTGATATAAAAATAATGATATTTGTGTAATATATTGGAAATTGTAAGGGTATTAATTATGTTAGGTAGATAGTACAATTATTAGAAACACAAATAATTAATTAGAGGCTTAATTATTTTGTTCAGGTGGTGGCAGAAGAGCCAAACAAGAACTACTTCTCCATATTTTGGTTAATACCAAAGTTCCTAAACGCCTGTTGGGAGCTCATCAGAAGTTTCACGTTTCCTTTGTACACCGGAAACTTCGAATACACGGAATCCGGCCTCATTCGCATACTCCGGGCAGCCGGGCTTCTGGTCGCCGGACTGCCCGCCCACTGCCCGCCCGATTACGTCAATTCGATTAGCCTCGGATCTTCAGATGTTTTTAACTCCATGGTTTCCCAAGAGGCCATGAAGTCACAATGATCACATTCTTAATACAATGGTTCGATTAATTTTTCATTCATCAAAGTATATGAAATTTTATTTTTATCTTAAAAATGTGCAACATTTTTCGATTCAAATCATCAATAAAAGTGATCGGTTACCTTTTCTACAAATGTCGGGCATGTATTAACTCAAGGATCTTATTTGCCCTCTACGAACTTTCCTGTAGAAATTGTTAAAATATATTCAGAAGTAATATATCATATTTATGGTAGTTATAAGATTATCTTATTTAAGAGATTATAGGATTCTTGTTTTATTTAAACGATTTGTATAGTATTGTATAAATATGTACGTATTCTTATGATTAAATAGAAAATTTCAGTTTCGTATTCTAACATGGTATCAAAGTCAAATTCTCTCCAGGTACCTCAATGACCCGTTATATCTCGCATATATTTTTATATTTTATTCATGTATTTGCTTCTATTCATGATGATGCTGTTATTTTCATGTCGTCTTCGTCTTTACTACTCCACTGACAGAGTTTACTTTCAACTCTAACTCTATTGAGAGCGAGCGAGTCCTATTTCCGGCTCTAGCTCTGCTGTGAGCAAGCGAGTCCTGTTTTCGACTCTATCTCCATAGAGTGAGCGAGTCCTGTTCTCGACTCTATCTCCATAGAGTGAGCGAGTCCTGTTCTCGACTCTAGTTCCGTTGTGAGCGAGCCACTCTTGTTTTCAACTCTAACAGTGTTGAGAGTTCTGCTTCTGACTTTGATCCAGTGGACGGCTACACCACTTTCAGCCAATTTTGGCGAATTCAAATTCGTATATGGAAAATCTCGGCTATATTTTTTTCGATCACTTTTGACAAACTCAAGTTTGTTTGATCATATATTATATCTATGGTAGTTATCTTATTTAAGAGATTATTATATATATGTACGTATTCTTATGATTGCAATAGAGAATTTCAGTTTCATATTCTAACAAAAATATTCAAGTTATGACAATGATAACATCATTAGATGATTTGTCAAAGTTGTGTCTAGCTCCACTTCGATCGTACCCTTTCATTCCACCTCGTCGTCGTCATCTCCATGATTCTGTAGAAGTGACCTCAAAGTCTGTTCTTCACTAATTTGAGACTGCAGTCGTTGCTTATATTCCATGGCTTATATAGCTTTACAAGAAACAAATAAAATAAAGATAACAAAAAAGGAGTTCACAATCTTATATATATGTGTGCTAAGAAACGAGAATTATTTAAACAACCAAAACAAACCTGAAGACTACTTCAAACTAAAATAAAATTACCAAACAAATATGCAATATTTTCGACATATTTCTTTTTAATATTATTAGGAAATACAATATATATATATACACATTTACTGTGTAGAAAAAATATACATTTGAATTTTAAAATAAAAACAAAACAAAATAAAAATAGTAAAAATAATAATTCCTATGTCCATAGCGAATGTAATCACTTACTTTTTTTTTATGCAGATAATAGTAGTACAATACAAATAGAATAGAGAAGAGATAAAAAATAATAATAATAATTTTATCTTTAAACTCATTTGTTTTTTTATAATATTTTATATGCTTGTGTCAAATATAAGAGTTTTTTGTTTTATTGAATTAAAACATACAATCACTAAAAACACATACATTAAAAGTGGACGGCCTAAAACAATAAAATAGTGGACGTACATGAAAATAGAAAAATATGGGACATTAAAAAAATATATAGATACTATTCTTTTCAAATGCACGTGCATATTTTATAGCATATGATAATACAATTTATAATTAGTATGATAGCATATTATATAATTTTATATAGTATCATATATCATGATTTCAACATAATAAATATATATACAACACAACACTATATAAAATTTTACATTACATACTATTTCCTCCGTCCGTCTTATATCATATTTATTTTTTATTTTATTATACTTAACAGTAAATATATTATTATATTTATATATTTTTTTTTGGTTACAAATATACACTAATTGCAATTTTTTTTAATTTATATATAATAATTAATATTCAAATATCAACACGCAAAAATAAATGAAACCCGAAAGAAAGCAGTACTATTTAATACATCATTATGTTGTTTTATATATATATATTAATGTAGTTCAATTGGATGAGTTCATGAAGAACATCTCATCTCATCTGAGCATCAGAACATAAACAGGGATCGATGCATCGAATCATTGAATCAAACATTACTAATTCCTGCGGCACACAAACCAGTTTCGCACAGACAAAACATTCACGAACATACGCCGCGAAGAAGACGATGAAGAACCAGAACCAGAACCAGAACCAGAAGCCTTGTCTGAATCCTCCCGATTTTCCGACAGCGAATTTCTCATCGACTCAGCCTTCATCTGCGATGCCCTCAGCTTCCTCATTATCTTGTCCATCGATGCCGACCTCTTCTTCTCCAATCTCATCTACCAATCAATCAATCAATAAATCGACGACAACGACGAAAACGACGACGAACGAACATATACTAACCTCGAGTTCCCGAATCGCCGCCTCCGCTTTCGCCTTCTGCAAATTCTCCCAAGCCGCAATCTTCGCTTCCTCCCGCCGCATCCTGTTTCGACCCGAAGAAAAAAACACGTTAACCGTTAATCATAACTACCCGAGAAGGATATTTCTCGAAAAAAACATCATTAATTTCGCTGTCGAATTTACTTCGCCGCGTCCTTCGAAGCCTCGGAAGCGTTCCACGGCGACGACCGGAAGCTCTCCGCATTATTCGGCGTCTTTTTCGCCTTTCTCGGCCTCGATTGCTTCCCGTGGCTCGACGTCGTCGTTCCTCGATCGACCTGGACATCTCGAACCTCGTCTTTAACGGCAGGCGGAGCGAATGCCGCGGGGGTCGTCGACGGCATTGCGGAGAACGAAAACCTCGCATCAGAAGACGAGCAACCGCTGCCTTCGGGGCTCATTTGCGTCGCCGAGTCCCTCCGGCGAACGTCTCCCGCTGCCGCCGGCGATTCTTCCTCCTCGGCGGCGGCGTCGTTAACCTTATCATCTACACAATTTCAATTCGAAAAACATAGACGACACGTCAAGAACCGATGCCAAATTAAAACGCGATCGATTATCGAATGTGAAACGCTTTCGACTCCCCGATTCTCACCTCCGACGCATTTCGTTGCGGCGACAATCGAAGAACCGTAGCGAATGGATACGCCATCAGGGACGAATACGCCGGTAGTAAGTGGCGAATGCTCCATGAACTTCCTCGGATTCCCGCCGGCATCGAATCCAGGCATCGTCGGAGAATATCTCGATTCGTAGACAATCCCCGGAAGGCCCAACGGACCGCTCTTCGACTTTGGCCGTCTCTGCGGCTGAGCCACCGGAGTTCTGACCAATCCATGGCCGGAAATCGGGCTAGTGATCCATCTCTCGGCGTCGTCCCATTTCGACGGCAGAGTTCTACCGCTGTTGAAGGGCATCAATGCAGCTGCACTAATGTGCCTTCTGCTGCTGCTACTACTCGCCGGCAATGGCACTCTTTCCGACGACCACGGCTTCGGAAACTCGCCGCCGTCGCCGTATTCCGGCGTGCCTGGGCTTGTATGGGCGCCGGAGTACCCAACGGATCCTGAATTCCGCCGCATACTTACAACTAACAAAGGGAAAATTTAGGGCACATTTTCCCCCAAATTGAAATCCACTTTTTACGAACCCTAGCAGTTTTATGAGATTTTCAATAATCAATCACACACAGCAATCGACATCCCCAGACATGAAATTTCTAATTGCTTCAATCAATAATCAGTAAAACGATTCCAAACAGCCAATAATTATCCAGAATCTTACACCATTCAAAAAATCGAAATCGAAATTGAAAGCACAAAACGAAGCGAATACGCAGAAAGGGGGTTTCCGCGAGAACTGACCTTTGACTGACGAAGAAACATAAAGCTTAGAGAATAAACCTCAGACATCAATCAATCGAATAACGCCTTTTCGATGCTTCCTTTTCCACACATTGCAGTAATTTTTTAAATGCAGCAGAGGAAGGTATGGGGAAAATAATATTCAATTAGGGTTGTCGTCGATTAATTGGGTGGAGTGTGAAAGCAAAAGCAGAGATGGAATTGAATAATTGGAGAAATGGAACAGTGAATTTGACGAATTTTAATGGAGGTTTTGAGGTCTGGAATCTGGTACAGTTTCTGCGCTCGGTAGGAAAAGGGAAGGAGATATGAATGGCGAAGGACAGGTGGGAATTGCTGCGTGGATTTAGGGCCGTTGGATGAAAAACTCTTGGGGCGGAGATGATGGAGATCGACGGCTGTGAAGAGAGGATGGGTGTAGTGATGAGTGATGGGGGGTGGAGGCTGAGTTGGCATATGTTGTCCGATAGCAAAATTCAGTTTCATGTGATAGACAGACAATGCACCACAAATTCAGGGGCCCATTTGGGGATCTAGTTTGGATTTAGGCATTTTTTCAAATATACCTAACGAAATTTTTTTTTTTTACTCCATCCATGTATTACGTCACAAATTTGGTTATTTTAGTTAATTCTATATATTATGTCAATTTTTATTTTTAAAAAAGTATTTTATTTTTTTTGTTTCAGAAATAATGTTTTATTGGAGTGAGCATAGGAATTAAAAAATAATAATAATTAATTGAACGTGGGTATAAAATAGAAAATAAAAGATTCAAATATTTTCTTTTTCAATGATTTTAAAAAGTAGGTTAAAGTAATAATTAGGAATAATTTGGAAAAATTAGAAATAATTTTATTATAAAATTGAGACCACAATTACTAAATAAGGAAACAAGACAATTTTTGTTAAACAGACGAAAATAAAAAAACAAGACAACTCTATTGGAGCGGAGGGAGTATATGTTAATTATATTTTAAATTTTATAATTTATAATTTTTTAAATTTTTATTAATCATTACCCTCTTAATTTGTATTATATTGTAATTAATTTTACTAATATATTATTAATTATTTACTAAGTAACCCTCTTAAATTTCAATGTATATGATAAATATGTTACTATAATTGGGACCCTAGGAGTATTATTTTTGTTTGTTCACCGAAAAGTATTTATTTTAATTATGATATGATAAAAATAGACTGCGAACATACTGATTCGGTCAAGTTAGCATGATACTTATAATAATAGTATGATATGATATAAATAGATGTTATGTGATATTTTAAATATAAAATTAATTTTTAATATAATATAAAAAATAAATATTTAATCATTTTGTTACAAATTTGTGTATGTTCAAACTCCTTGAAAAATTAGAAAACATCTTCTACATTTGAGTTGTTCATATTAAATAGTATTTTAATATAATATTTTTAATTTTTAATTATTGGAACAAAAAATTAATTAAAAAAATATAACCAAACACAACCATAGATGTTGCTGTCTTTGCAATCATCTTGTAATCTTATTATTGTCTTGGTATTTCTCTATTATTTAAATTTATTATCTCTGTTTTTTAATCTAAGTTTATATTTGTTTTTTTAGTAAAAAATATTATCTCTGTTATTTAAATTTATTATCTCTTTTTTTAATTTAAATTTATCTTTGTTTTTTAGTAAAAAATATTCTCTCTATTTCGATATTTGGGATGAGCACAGAAATTAAGGAATAATAGTATTATTCTAATAATTGATGTAAAAGTATTTTTTAAAAGACCAAAATATTTATATTTTATGTAATTATTGTGAAAATATGAGGATAATTTTGTAAAAATGTGGAGAGATAGTTACTAAAAATAGAAATATGACTGACATAACAAAATTACAAAATGAGACCATTGTTTTGAAATACTGAGTACCATATTTTTTTATTTTCTTTTTCTCTAAAAAGTGAAAAAAAAAATGATATTTACTTATTTTTCTTAAAACTCGTCCAGTCGTACTCAATCAAATAGCACACAATTGGACGCCACGGTAAATATTATTTATCACCATATATTTTCTATTAAAATTTGTTTTGATTGTTTAAGTAGTGTTCTTGCATTAAACTTTATATCCTTCATTAATATTTATTAATATTTTCTAGGTGTGTTTTTTAGTAATAAATTGGTTTTTCTTTTTATTTTGGCTTATGTTTGAAGACAGTAGTTACTGTGCCTAACATATAAAATTTAGTACAGTGCTGATAGTATACAATATACGGAAATATTACACACAATTGCACGTTATGTATACATAGTTACAAATAACACATCAATTATATTAATATAATACAAATACAATACATTATATTTATATAGTCTTGCACAATACATGATATAAGAAGAATACAATGAACATGTTATATATATTGATTTCAACACAAAAAAATATTAATATAGGACACATATACGATATAATTATACGTTGTTTGACTGGTCCAATGTATCAAATCAACGTGGTGCTGATTTGATTCAATCAGTATATTTAATAAAAGTAGATATCATATGCTCGATAATGTATGATAATACAATATGCAACTTATGTTATGAAAGCATATAATATAATTTTATATAGTACAATATATTATTAATTTCAGCACAGTAAAACTTATTTATACAATACAATATACTCCATTCGTCCCTTAAATATAGTCTTAATTGGGTTGGGCACGAGATTTAAGGAATATTGTTATTATATTGGTAGTTGGTAAAAAATATGGATAAAAGACTTTTTTGCCCTTGCGAGTGTATTAGTGTAAAAAGTAGTAGCAATTGTATAATAAAGATGAAAAAATATGGATAATTTTATGGTGATATGGTTATTTATAGAAATAAGACTATTGTTTTGAGACGGACAAAAATAATAAACAAGACTATTGTATTGGCACGGAGAGAGTAATATATACATTACATAATACATATTTTTATATGATACTCCCTCCATCCAAGCTAAAAGTATGCAATTACTTTTGGCTCGGAGATTAAGGAATAATAATATTTTAATTATAGTGGGTAGGTAAAAGTAGTAAAATGACATTTTTGCCCTTACTTTTTTGGTATAAAAGTAATGATGTGATGTAAAGTTGGGGTATTTGTGGAAAAAATTGGGTATTTAATGAAATGGTTACTTTGTAATTGGACGTTCCAAAATAGAAATATGTATACTTTCTAACTGGACGGAGGGAGTACAATATTGTGCAAACTATTTTAATTATATTTGCTAATCGAATCAAATCAGTATTCTAACCATCACTATTATTTGTTTGTTTTATCCTGTGCTACAAGGAAAAATTAACATAGGGTGTATTTGTTTTGGCACTTTCAATTTTTTGTTGGGATTTGAATACTAAAAATTTTGAATTAGATTAGTTATATAATACGATATAAATAAATATTGATGCAATATTTTGAATATAAAATTAATTTTAATAATATAAAAGAAAGAAAAAATGGGTACTTTGATTTGATATTTTTTTTTAAAAAAAATAATAATAAAAAATTGTAAAATTTTGATAAAACTTTATTAAATAAGACACCCTTTATTTGCCTCTTTTTTCCTAAAAATAACAACCCAAGGTTATGGGTTATTATGGAGTTTGGTATTTTCAATCAATATTTTCCTCTACCCTTTTACTGTGCTTCCCAATAATTAATTGATAACAATATATTGTCGTTACAAATATTTATTTAATTTTATATATATATATATATATAATATCTATCCATGTGACCAATCAATGTAATTCAATTCAAATAAATACGATAAAGATAACACTATAAAAGACAATTAACCTCACACTCATCAACACTATGAGTTGGAGAAAAACTAAATTTATGGGCCCGAAGTTAAGAAATTTAGCCCATAAGCAGCCCAATACAATGACTTATAGTAATTTTAATAGTTCTTTTTTTAATAAAAAAAAAAAGTTATTTAATGAAAATTAAATAATACTCCCTCCGTCCAACTAGAAAGTATACATATCTCTATTTTGGGACGTCCAATTACAAAATAAACATTTTATTAAATACTTCACTTTTTTCCACAAATACCATTACTTTATATCACATCATTACTTTTACACAAAAAATGGCAAAATGTCGTTACATTACTTTTAACTACTCACTGTAATGAAAATGTTTACTTTGAATGTGAAATGATAGAGTAGTATATATATTCTGCTACCATTTTTGTTGAAGGTAACCAATATGTTGAATTTGTGGAATCATAGTTAATAATTGTATTATAAATTAGAAAAAAAAAAAAAGAAAAGAAATTATTAACTTCCATACAAAATTCATTAAACAAAATAATTCAATTTCAGATTTGGATTATTTGATAGAGTGTGTTAACTTTTTAATGGTTTAAACTCTCCAAAATATTACCGAAAAAATATTTTTTTTTCTCTCCAATTTTATTCACACTTTCTTTTAGGATTACCATTTCAAAAAAAAAATGTTTTTTTAGTAGGAAGCCGTAATATTATTTATTTATTTTTTTACTTTTATTACCATAAAATAACAAAAAAGCACACATTTATATTAAAATGTGTAAATGTGTAATATACATTATACAATGTATAATATATATACATATATATATATATAACAATAACATCCAACAAAAACACATAAAACAATATTTTTTATAATATTTTCACAATTCTTATAATAAAAATATTTAAAATTATAAATACATCACACCGACTTGTCTGACAGGCCCAGTTGGTCTAGGCCCACATAACCCAATCCACTTTAACCTGGCCCGAATTTAGGCCCGCATCCAAGCCTGTTCGTGTCCTAATATGTACCCTATATGGTCCAGTAGTTAGGAACTTGTCTGGCCCTATTTTTATATTTATTTTATCTGTTTTTTTTTTTTTTTTTGTTTTTTTTTTTTTAGTATTTTATATAAAAAAAAAAACTAATATATTACAATCTAGAATCAACCATACTTGTTTATCATGGGCTAAACTGAAGGCTTGGGTCAATGGTCCTATGCCGACCCATTTGGACACGTTGAATACAAGAAAAAGAATAAAATGGTTAAAGATGTTTATCAGTAGAATTTTGATTTTTTTGTTTTAATTTTAAATAGTAAAATTTTGAATTGAAATAGTTATTTATTGTGATATAAATATATACTAATGAGATGTTTTAGATATAAAATAAAATTTTAGTGTAATATAATAAATAAAAAAATAAATATTTAAGGTGTGTCTACTTGTCAGACTTTAGACCTGATTTTACTATTCTAACTTTTTTTTTTCCCTTCAAAAAATCAAATCAAACATCACATCAACACATATTTATATCACATCAAAATTTTACTATTCAAAATCAAAATCCAAAACTAAAATCTCACAAGTAAACACATTAGTTTGATTTTATTTTTTAGAAAAAATTGGAAGAGTAAAACAAAATTTCACATGTAAACACACCCCTTCATTATTCTAAAAAAAAAACTTATTATTTACTTACTTTGTATATAAAAATAAAAAAGTATTCCCACGGTCCCATATATATATCTATTTGCTTTTTGCACGGAGTTTTAGAATTATTAGTATTATATTTGGATAAATAATATATTGTAAATTAAAAGACTATTTGTAATGTTAAATAAATAGTACAATTACTAAAAAAAAAATAAATGAATAATAAAAAAATAGATAGATTGTCAAGGAACATGTGTTGTTGAATAATACTCCCTCCCTCCGTCCCAATGTTTACTATTTTTGTCCGTTCCCAAAATAATAGTTTTATTTCTATCCGATATCACTGTATAACTATCTTTACTCTTTCGCTATTATTACACAATTGTCACTATCTTTTAGACTAATACAGAACAAAAATATTTTTTACCTATACTTTTAACCCACTATCAATATAATATCAATATTCCTTAAATTCCGTGTCCAACATAACCAAAACTATAGTTCCGGGACAGAGGGAATAGTATTATTCATCACCTTAATATTAATATAAAGCAAAAATCAATATTGATCTTACGTCGAACACGGTTGTGTTCATACAGTTAGACTTACCTATCATCTACCTTCATTCTTGATGAGCCGGAATTGGAATTCGATATTTAGAAACAAAACTTAACAAAACAAAACAAATCATATGATATTCCAACTCTACAATATATGTGTATGCGTGCATGTGTTCATGTAATCGGTACCTTAATTAGCACAAAGAAGTATCTGAATCAATCACATAAGCCTGTCTGATCAACTTCCCCATCAAAACTCCGTCTATTCATCTTGACAGTCCCCCGAGAGTTCCGGGCATTCCAGCAATAGCCTGTCTGTCGACAAATTAAGAAGGGCCTGTCAGAAAAAACTTCTCGGCATCCTCAAATCAAAATCAAATCCTTACCATAAAACCAGCACTCTTCAAGCAGCTTTTGCCTTGCCACTATCATCATCATCATCATCTTCACAGGGCTGGCTCTAAAGAACAGTCACCAACATGATTCAAGCCTGGTGCTGAATTAAAATTCTCACAGAGCAAAAAGATATATCTTCTTCTTTAAATCTTTATAGCCTGATCTCATCAACCATAAGACATATAATATATATACACACAAATATATATATATATATAGAGAGAGAGAGAGGGAGATGAGGTGTGTGCTGTGTGCATTTAATTGGAACAAAGGAAAAGCAACCTAAGAAAAAGGATATAGTATATATATATATACACAATATAAAGAACTTCAAAATTAAATCATCAGTCCAAAAGGAGAACATAAGTGTATATCACCTAACTACTACCAAACAGCTACAAATCTACAAGAAAGACAACAACGGCGCTTCAAAATGAGCACAAGTAGTCTCCATTACCTAATTGTTTTCGTCAATCAGCTGTAACATCTTCTATTACATCATTGCAGGCTTCTTGTAATTTCATAGATCGCATTTCCTCAATCTCTATAAGCAACAAAGCGTCGCACACTACTCTATCTGCCTGCAGCCTTCTTGGGCAACCTAAAACAGGAGATTTTCATAATAACTTAAATTTGTCATGGTAACATTGTTTTCTTGTTAACAAGTGGAGAAGGCAGGCAGCGCACCTGATACCGGGCATTGACCCTGTGCAACCTTGGACCTAATACGCTGCATGATGTGTTGCTTCTCGTATATGTGCTTGCAGTCCATACTACCAATATATCAAAACAAGCCGAAGATTTTAATGTCTCACAATTTATTTGGAAATAGACACCATTTCGCCTCAGCAAGCCAATGAAAAATGCAAGGTACTAAATTCAAATTAAGATTTTGTTACATCTTGCGGAGTTCCAGAGTTGCTTATTATTAATAATGAAATAAGGGACCTATAGATAGATGTGACACAGACTTAATAAACTCAAGTAATAACAATCTAATCTAATGGATATTCTAGATAACAGAAATCTAATCTGAACGATAAAATAAATACTTCATAATACCTTCGGACAGGCTCTACTAATTCCTCGACAGGTTTTCCAGTCAGTGGGCATGTCATATTCAAAAGATTGCAGTGTGAGCTAGTCATTACTATGTCCTCCTGCTCTTCACCTGGCATAGGCTGCCCTGCATGATGAACATTCTGCAAAGAAAAATGAAAAGACTGTGAACCGAAAGCTATCAAAGTGAAAAACACATTTTATTTATTAATTGTATGTAGAGAACAGAACAAGAACTATTGAGAGTGCCTAGGAATCTTTAGCACAAAAATTAAGAGAAGTTGTGAATTTCATCCAATCCTTGATTCAGTAGTTGCAAGAAGATTAATTATGACTCATTTTGATTCTACAACATTTTTTACATGTTTCAGACATTCACTTGTTATAAATATACACGGGAGAGTAAACTGAATCAAAACTTGTTACTTTACAAGGATGCTTCCTCGGGAGGTTGCAGTGTTAGACAAGCGTCTCTCCCTTAATTCTACTATATCAATTTTAAATTTTTCATGCAAATCTCTCTACCTATTTCTGTAAGTGCTCGAAAAGGTTTTGCTAATGGAAATCGCTACACATAATCACATATTCATCATTTTTTTAATCTCACATACACTATTAAGTGAGTGTTGCGGACAGAAGAATAGCTTCTAGTTCAGAGAAAAGGCATTTCAAAATAGAAGGTATGATATGAAGCCAGCATGTACATCCTAATGCCTATAATTAAACAAAGTGCCAAGGCGAGGAGTTTATCAAGCCTTTTATAAGGATGAGAGATGAACTTGATTTTTTATTTTTTAATAGATCAGCATCGGCAAATTAATCAGTTATCATTGGATTGAGATCCAATTAAGCTTTTTCATAACTTTAAACCTAGAATAAAAATGTAATTGCAACAGATACCATTGTTTCCTGAATCTACAGGATATAACAACCCAAGAACAGAGAAAACATTATCATTAATTAGAATATATGCGAAAAAAATCATGATCATTAAAAGCAACAGGAAATAGCTACTTCCATTGCCCACCACATATAAATCAAGAAAGAATGTAAATCTGAATCAGCGACCGCTGACAGTGACTACTAACATACCCAGATAGCTTCACGGAATTGCCGTAGCAATGTCTGGTTCTGTGAGACAGAGGAAGAATCCTTCCTGGATCTTTTAATTTTCTCATCAAACAGCTTTGTGAAATCGGTTAGCTGCAGCACCAACCAAAAGTCCAAGCACATATAACAAGAAAAAGAAGAAAAAATATTTAGATTACCTCATCTCAACTATAAGATCAAAGCCCATGGGCAACTACTACCTCGGCACCAGGCTGGTACTCATTTTTGATAGACTGTATAGCATTGGAAAGCTGAGTGCACTCATCTGAAGATTTCATTAATTCAGTAACACCATTTTCAAGAACTTTCACCTGCAGTGCCATTAGATAAAACATCTTGATAATTAAACGAACAATGGTTTCTCACAGCGGTCCAACTCAGCTTTTGAGCTAATAAATAAATATCATATGTTTGCACGTGCCTTTCTACGTTGCTAGCACACTAGTAACTTGCAGCAGCAAATGTATGACACTCCAATAAGTTGAGGTTACTTAGTGTTTCTTTAATAAAATGATTTTCCATAAATATTATTAAAAAATACTATATACATACATTAACACATTAACACAATATGTATAATATATATACTTTTATTCACTTACAAAATATCAATAATTCAATACAAAATATCTTTATTTATATTACCAATACAATTTTCCTACCTAATATAAAAAACAAATTCTTTCAAAAACACAAAGTGAACAAATCCCTAGTTGCTAGAACATTAGTAAATGCAGTGAGCATAATATTCGTTGAAAGAAACCATTAGTAAGCTCGGTTTTGGGACCTAGATCAAGTTTAAAAAAGCATTGAAAGAAACCATATTCATGTTGAATGATGCTAGTGCATTGTGAAAATAACAAACAATGTACAGTGACAATTAGTTCGATTAAACATATTTCTTTTTGCATTTATCGAATGGTGCTTAGAACCAAAACGCTGTCACTATATGCTAACCAGCTATATAAAGCATGGTGATTAATATGGAGTACAAATCTGAAGCACAATTTGAAAAAGAAACGCCTATTTTCTTTCCCCATCCATCCGAATAATGTTGTTTACAATGAATATCCAAAATCACCACATAGGATATGCTTTCAATCAAAATCACTTGGGAAGACAAATCCAACATCACTTGATCACTAGAATATTAATTTAGACTACAAACACAAAAAGTACCATTTCAGAATTGTTGTCCCTCTCAAAGTCGATCCCTACATCTTTCATCATCATCACAGCCTTCCTAATTTCCTGAAACAGCAAGGAACAAATAAGAACACGAAACAAACCTACAATCACCACCATTAGAATTTTAGATATTGAGCGGCAAAGATTACAGTAATAAGAGTCTGATTGTCTGCATAAAGTGTCGAAGCGGCAGTTGACATTCTTCCTGTGCCAATGTTGGCATGTGGAGTAGAAGTGGACGCCATTGCAGATTTGCAGCTCTTTTAGTGAAAACTTCTGTCAGAGCAGCAGGCAACAATATTAAAAAAATATTTACATTATTCACATTTGTATGCATCATATAAAAAAGTTGTCGATTTATTTATAAGAAATATCTAGAAAAATAGTTTTCAGAAAACAATTGATCATCAATAAACAGTTAAAAATAAACAAAATTTACATATTATTTTATCAACATAAACATCAAGCTTTTCAAGCCCCCAATACCAAAGTTTAAATGCACAAACACAATATTTTATCAAAATCAATCATATCATCTTCAAAATACTCCTCATTTCTTCTAGTTCATCTTTCATTAATCCGAAGATAATGTTACAAAATTTTCCAAAAGAATCACACGGGAATGTATAAGACAGGAAGTAAACAGTAAGCACCTAAACCAATTCCGACAACACCAATAAAAATTAGTTTCCAACAAAACAAGCACAAAGCTAACCTACCAATGAAATGACAGCAACGACCACCGGCGGAAGAAACTTCGTAAAAAAAATGCGAAAAGAAAGAATAAAAATGATAACATAAACTCGATTTCCTTATATACAGTGGAAGTACCAAGCTGAAAAAAAAAAAAAAAAAAAAAAAAAAAAGAAAAGAAAAGAAAGAAAGAAAACAAACTCACCGGATGTTTAGCTGGCGTCGGCGCAACGCAGAAGTAGAAGGAAGGGGAAGGAGAGGGAGAAGAAGAAGAAGGACGAAGAAGTCGAAGAAAGAAGAAGGGAGGGAGGAAGGAAGAAAGAAAGGGTAAGAAATTATTGGGGCCGGGGGTGGGCAGGGGAGCGGCTGCGGTGTTGATTGTAGTATTTTGTTAAAAAAATCGAATTAAACGTCGAATAGTTTGAACCTAATTTTTAATTAATTGAGTAATTTCAGTTCAAATACTCCCTATCTATATATTCATTTTGTTTTGGGATAAAATTTTAGAAATATTAGTATTAGATTGAAATGTAATATAAATAAAGGTGAAAAATTAAACTAATTTTTATTAGTTTTGTATAATATAAATGTAACGATATTTGTATAATATATTGTAAATTAAAACAATATTTGTAATATCAGGTAGATAGTACATTATTTAAAAAAAAAAAGTAAATTGATACTTTTATAGGACGAATAAAAATAAAAAAATAAATAGATTGTTAAGGGAATGAGGGAGCATACATTATGCACATTTGATATTTGTTCGATTCCATTTGATATTTTTTCCGTTTGATTAACTAGATCGAATATATTTATATTATAATATATCTTATAATTTATGTATAAATTAATTGTACATATAATTGAATTTTTATAAGATACTTTGGAGTGAGACGATAAAAAATTTCAGCACAGTGACATTGTATACTAATATAATATAAATACAAAATATAAATTAACAACAACATATGTTATAATATCATACAACATACAACAGTTATTTTAGCTCATCACATTAATTTACACAACACACTTTTAATTATAAATAAACAATTCACTTACTGTTGGAATTTTTTGTCCTGGATCCACCCCAATTATTAATACAATCACACTTAATTAGCAGCCAAATACTCCATAGCCCTGGCCCACTTCTTAGATCCGTGACCCGAGTCCACGCCTTGACCCGCACCACTTACCTTAACCCAATCCCTCGAACCGCTGTTCCAACCTGATTCTTGGATCCGCGTCTTTTGAGATGCTCATTTCTTCCATTGGATTTAAGTGTTACATTTAAGCCGTCCATCCTATTAAACCCTACCTATATATTGAGTGAGTGAACGTCGTCCATCCTATTAAATTCTACCTATATATTGAGTGAGTGAACGTCGTCCATCCTATTAAACTCTACATATATATTTAGTGAGAGGGCAGTCATTCAATATATTTATTTCCTCTCTCTAAAATTGTTTCCCTCTCTAGCCTCCTCTCTCCCTCTCTCACTCACGATCTCTTTTGCGGCGATTTTTTCCGGTGGTTCTACGGCAGTGCCTCTTCTGTTTGTGTGGAGTTTCTTGGCATAATACTCCCCCTATTTGTGTTGTTCGTAGCCGAAAGAAGCTTATCCAACGTGTTAAGCGTGTGGTTTTGTTCCTGTTGCCTTGTATATTTTCTGTGTAGGATATTTTTGGTCTGTGTGAGTGGGTCTTGGGCTGGTGTCATTGTGTTCGTCGTTGTTAAGTGTGTTTGTGTCGATTTTTGAGTTTTCGAATTGGTTTTGGAGCTGAACTTACAAAATCAAAACTAGTTAAATATTTTTGTTTGTTTACTCGATTTCGTTAATAAAATTTTAGATCATTTCATATATTTTTCATAACACTTACAATTATAAATAAATAGCGCATATATTTATTACATACAACATATTGTGTATAATAAAAATATGTGTTATTTATACATGTGATTACATGTGGTGATTTGGAAGGTTAACCATTCCCAAACAAAAATACAGTATATGAAATAAAAACATATGATAATAATATAATACTCTCTTCTCTCGGTTAATTTGTCTAGGTTAATTTGTCTCATTTAAATTAGGAACAGACTTTTAGGTATTGTGTAATTAATGAGTAATTAAAAAGTATATTAGTAAAAATAATTATGATTTAATAAAAATATTTTAAATTAAAATTTAAATGACTAAATAGTTTAATTAAATAAAAAAAATATAAATTAAGAAATTTAAAATGTAATTAAAATGTATAATTGTATTTTTTTTTTTTAAAAAAAAGACAAATTATGCTGAACGAATAAAAATAGAAATAATAGATAAATTAAATCGAACCTATGAAGATGGAATAAAACACATGAACTAATATTATATAATTGTTGATGTAATTTTTCAACAAAAATAAAGTAAAATTCAAAGATATAGAAAATATCCTTAAACTTGATTAATTAGTGCCTGAGATTAGGAATCTCTAAACACTGTATGGTACAGAAAATAAACTGGAAAATAAAAGACTGAAATTTAAAGTGGTGATCCCCAAATCTGACTTTGCTTTGTTGAAGTTGATTGAAGATCTCTTGCCAAATGATGATCCAAACCCTTAAATATTCCCTGGGAAACTGTACTGAAAACCGTCGCCCGAACGGTTACAACGTCTCCTTTCCAACCGTCTTCCAACCCTTCTCCTGCTGACACGTGTCCTCAGCGGACCAGAATTGTCGCTATATTTCACTCTTTGAGCCGACCACAGACCGTCCGCCCTTTTGGCCCGACTGCCAATCTACAACCGACTTGCAAACCATCTGACTTGTTTAGTTCAGCTACAAACCTCCCGACTAACAGACCATCCGACTTGTTGGTCCAGCCGCAGAGTCCCGACCTGAGGACCTCCCGACCTGTCCGACCTGAGGACTTTCCGACCTGAGGACCTCCCGACCTGCGGACTTCCCGTCCTGATGACTTTCCGTCTTGAGGACCTCCCGACCTGAGGACCTTCCGACCCGAGGTCTTTCCGTCCTGAGGACCTCCCGACCTGTATTTTCCTTAGAAACAAACTTATTTTCCTTGAGTTCCCCACGGTGTCCTTCAGCCAGTTCAATCAACTCTATTGCCAGGCCCATTTTTCTTTTACCTTGGGCTTTTTAACCTAATTCTAAATTTCATACGTAACAATAATAATAATAATAATAATAATACTCTATCCGTCTCATAACAAATGATCCATTTTTCCATTTTAGTCTGTCCCATAACAAAGTATCCATTTCATTTTTTTTTAGTAACTGTACTATCTACCTAACATTATAAATACCCTTACAACTTACAATATATTACACAAATGTCATTACCTTTATATCGCACGTACTAACAAAATTATTTTAGTCATTTCTACTTTATTTTTACTATATCCCAATATAATACTAATATTTCAAAAACTACGTGAAAAAAACGTAAATTGATAACTTCCTTTTGGAACGAATAGAATAATAATAATAATAGTCTACAAGTTAAGATATAATTGAAAACACATGTTTTAATAGCAACCGTGCATTTTGTATATTTTGAGGGTTGCTAATATAAATAATAATAATAATAATAATATAATAATAATATTATTATTTTATATATTTATATTTTTAAAGTGTAAATTAATTAGTTTAATTGAATCGATATAGATGCCATTTCAAAATTTAAATATTAAATAATTTATCTAAATTTTTTGAATTACAATAAAATTTCAAGTTTTGAGTTGAACATATAACTTTTTTAAAGTAACATAACTCATATAAAATTTATTTTAGTGGAATAAAATCACTGATGACATATAACATCAGTATTCTAAACATGAATCCGTCATTGATCGCTATCGTAATCAATTTCATGGACCACATCGATCCATTCCTCCAATCTCATTGCCCATATTTCATGCCATCTCTCGTCTCCTCCCGTTTTACATGAACGTTGTCGTCGCCATTGCCGGCATAATCAATTTTCCAACCGTCACGGCGGTCATATTATTAGTTCTAAATTGACTTATTCGATATATTTTATTTTAATTTTAGAAACAAATACTAGTAATATATACTTATGGATAGTAGTGATGATTTTTATAATTCAACACAATGCTGACATTATTAATGGACGCTACACAACAAGAATAACATATAATTTATTTAATTTTTAATAGACTAAGAATACATATGAATTGATATTAACTTTATGTAACACTTTATCCGTCCCAATCAAATCCAAATGAAATAAATATTTCTTTAAAAAATTATGGGTATTTTGATATTTAGGTATTATTATTTTTACTATAAATAAAAATAAATATTTTTTAATTAGACAAATAAAATAATAAAAATAATATATTGAGTTGGGACAGAGAAAAAATAAACAATGATTGAGTTAGAATGTAACCTCTTGTGTTATATACCCTTCGTCCTAAATAAAATGACTTTTTTATAATTTTCGATAGCCGAAAAAAATATTTCCTGTAATTTTTTCATTTCATCATGTTTAATCTATTCAAATCAAAGATTTTCATTTCATTTTATAGAAAAAAATAAATCACATAAACATCAAAATACAAATTTTTTTATTTTTCATATTATTTTTATTTTTATATCAATGATAAATGGACATTACACTATTTTAATACAATATATATTTATAAAATATTAACTTACCTTATAGAAACTTACTCTTAGTCGAAGTCGGTATTAATATTTACTATTTTATTAGTATAAGAAAGCAAAAGCATATTGGGATGAAGGATTATGAGTAATATATATAAGGATGTGTCTGTTTGGGAGTTTGAATTTTGAGTTGAAATTTAAATGATAAAAATTTTGAATTTGAATAATTATATAATGTGATATAAATAAATATTAATTTAATATTTTTAATATAAAATTAATTTTTAGTATAATATAAAAATAAAAATAAATATTTAATTTGATAAAGGGATAAAACTTTTTATGAATAATATAAATCTTACAAAATTTGCAAAGAGAAATGCACCCTAACTCAAAATAAGAAAACGAAAAGTGACAGGTGTGGAGGCGCCGCCAACGGTCAGGTCGGTCGGTCTAAGTTGAGTTGGTGGACAAATTGACCGTTGGCATTAATTCATTAGTTTTGTGCCCATCCATATTCATTATTATTATTATTATTACTCCCTTCGTCCCAAATACCATGTTCACGTTGCTGTTTTTATCCGTTCCACATACCATGTCACTTTCCTTTTTTTGGAAAATGATTACACACTTTAATCTCATTTTAAATTTTTTAATTTTATTTTTTTTAATTTTAATTAAACTAATTAGTTATCTTAATCTTAA